GGCGCGCCAGGCTCCGTGGAGCCGAGGCCGGCGGCGGTGGCGGCCAGTAGGCCCGCGTAGACGAGCAGCAGGCGGGCTCCGGCGGGGCGGCGGGCGGGGGCCATGCGGGCAGCGCGTCCTTCTGGGCTCCGAGCGCGGCGTCTCGGAACCGCTCTCCGGCTCCGCGCTTATAACGCGCTCGAATCCCCCGCCGCGCCGGGCGCCCCCTCCCGGCTCCGGCGCGCGCTGCAGAGGCGGGGCGGGGGAGGGCAAGGGGCGCTGCAGCAGGGGTGAGTGTGTGCCGCGCAAGGCAGGGGGCGCTGGAGCGGGGGGATGCGGGGCGGGGCGGGGCACAGGGTAGGGAAGGGGGTGCGAGGAGGGGGCTACGGGGGAGGCAGGGGGCTCAGGAAGCACTCGCTCGCGGTGGCAGGAGCGCCCGCTCCTGTTGAGCGCATTTCCGCTCCATCTCCCGGCTCCCGGTCCCTCCCTGAGCACTGTCCAGTGCTTCTGCTTCGCGGGGACCGGGACACCCCTTCTCCCGGGCCCCGGGGCATCCTTTTTCCCCTCTCTGTCCCACGCCTTCTCTGCGGGAACCTTGAGACGCTCCCTTCCCATTCTCCTGGCCACGCCCTGCGGGGCTTAGGCCTCGGCAACATAAGTTGAGCACGTCGGAGCGGGAAGACCCTCAGGGTCCCTCCTCGGCTCCCCCTTCCCAGGCGGGGACGCGTCCCTTCTAGGGCACCCTTCTCCCCATGGCTGGGGCGCTCTGAGCTCAGGGATGCGCCATTCTTCCCCACCTGGGTTCACCTGCAGGGGCGTGGGGCCAGGAGTGTGCACAAGGGAATCTACAACCCAGGGCAGCTGCCCTGCTCTGATGCGGGCGCACGGAGGCGAGGGCTGGGAGGACTGCGCTCCATCTCGGCCTAGCCCACCCGATCAGGGACAAGGCTGCCTGCTGCCCACTGGGGTCAGCTCAGGACACCCCGCTGGGACAGGTGGACCAGACCCTGCAGGCCTGAACTCCAGGCTCCTCCCTGAAAAGAGCCAGCCTCCTCACTCCTTCCCTGGGCTGCTTTATGCTATTACGTGCCCATTGCCTGTCTGTCTCACCCCCTGGAAGGTAACGGCAGGACCACGGCACTCCAGGCTCTCTGTGCCCTGCCCCTGAGGTGCCTGTGCCTGGTGGGGACACAGTGCGTTTTATTCAAGAGTGGGGGAAGGCACCACTGAGGAATGCACCTTCCCAAGGGCCTACACCCACACCAGGGGATGATTTTGACCTCTTCTGAGAAGAGAGGAGGCCTCACCCTGCCCTGTTTCAGAGTGTGGCAGTGCGAACTGAAAGCAAGTAGGAGTCCCGGCCTGGGGGAGGGGCCGTGGTAATCCTCACCTGGCTCAGGGACAGTCTCCACCACTCAGGCACTGTTTCCAGGGGACAGGAAAGACTCCATACTTTAGCAAAAGCCTGGTATTAATTGTTCCCTGTGATTCTGCCTCTTTGCCTGTAGGATGTGGGGATGGTGGTCGAGTCTTTTTTTGGGGGGATGGGGGGTGGTGTTTAAAGAAAAAACACCCCGCCCATCTGAGAATGTGTTCCCCCCAGGGATCAGTGTGTCCCACGGACTTACTCTATAAGGATGTCTTTCAAAGGCAAATTATGACTGCAAAAGACAAGTTCTGTCCTTATCTTTTTTTTTTTATAATGGTAACCATTACTAATTTTTTTTTTTTTTAGATTTTTATTTATTTATTTTTCCCCCCAAAGCCCCAGTAGATAGTTGTATGTCATAGCTGCACATCCTTCTAGTTGCTGTATGTGGGACGTGGCCTCAGCATGGCCGGAGAAGTGGTGTGTTGGTGCGCACCCGGGATCCGAACTCAGGCCGCCAGCAGCGGAGCGCGCGCACTTAACCGCTAAGCCACGGGGCCGGCCCTGCCATTATCTTTTTAACAATTTCTTTTTAAAATTATCAATGGCATGAAAAAATTGAAATTCCTATAGAAATTGCAGATCTCCAAGAAGACATTTGAGAAATACTGGCTTCTATAATATATACTTAACAAAATATATGAACTTATTTCATCTGCAAACATCAGCAGTTTTGTTACAAATAAGAGCATTCGCTTCCAAATCCGTGGAGGGTGTTATTGGAAAGCCCTCAGAGGGTTAAGGCCGTCTTGGGTGGCTTCTTATTTCTGGTCCCACAGGGAAGGTCTGTGAGGAAGCCTCGTGTTGGAACATTTTCATGACGCGTTTATGTGTGTTGGGCATGTGCTTCAGGGTTAAGTATTGTAATTTTGTTCAGTTTAGTTTATTCGGGGAGACTTTATCTGGGACCGTAGGACACCAAGTGTGGGGTGTTCTCTTTGCTGAAACCTGAGATCTGCTAGTAGAGAGGGCCTCCTGTTCCCAGGAGATGCAGCTCTGTGTACAGTCCCTTTGTGTTTCTGAAAAAGCACGTCCACACCCAGCCCCTCATTCGCTTCTCACAGGCCCCACTGATTAGTCCAGAGAGGTGGGTGGCTTGCCCAGGGACACACAGCCTGGGCTCGGGGCTGGGGCCAGGCCCTCTTGCCCACTAGGCAGAGTCACGTCTACACAGCCACACATTTTGCCCATTATAGTCCTTCCTAATCTTGATGATGCGAAATGTGAGCTACAGGATGAGCTTGAAGGTTATTGAAGAAGATGTGGCCCTGTGTTTTCCCTCAGACCAGTGAGTGTCCCGTAGGGGTGGGATTTCCTCTGGGGGTCTGGCTGTCAGGGAAGCCCAGGGAAACACCTGTAGCTGGCCACTCTTGAACCTGGGGGGCTCGTCCACAGAGCTTTCCCTGCTCGGGGAGTGGAATGCCACGGGGGCAGCCTGACAGGGTGGGAGGGAAGGAGCTTGGCTTGGGGACCTCATGGTGGCCAGCCTGTCTCAGTTTCCTTGCCTGAGAGCTGGGAATAAGGCACAGGGTGAGCCGAGTGCACAGTGGGTGAGGCCTGCTTGCGTTCCAGGCTGCCCTAGTGGCGAGGGTCCCTGGCCCAGGCCGTGGGCACCACGTCGCAGGGAGGTGCCCTCAAATTTACATGCAGACAGAGGCTTCAGGCCCTGGGGGCCATGGCAGAGCAAGGTTGGAGCCCAGGACAAGCCCAGCAGGGGGTCTGCTCAGCAAACCTGGCCCTGGCATGGCCGCCTGCAGCAAAGGTCACACGTATCTGTGGAGGCGGCACATCCGGGGCCATTAGCCACGCATCCCCCTGAGACTCATTTTGCTCGTCTGTTTAGTGGGCATAACAGCAGCTGTTGTCCCTGAGCCCTCTGCTGGGATCCCACTCATAAGTGACTCGGGACAGCCAAGGCCAAGGCCGGGAGGAAGGTGGCCAGTGACGCTCACTTCCAGCACGGAGGCCAGGCCGCTGGGGGGCCCCGCTTCTGGGTCACTGGCCTGGATTCTGTCCACAGGGGTGAGAGGCACGCTGCTTTCAGGGCCGGATGCCTTGTGGCCCAACCTGCACCCCGGGAAGGCGAGGCTCAGGCCCTGTCACCTTTGGTAGCACCGGGGATGTGTGGGGCTGGATGTACCCGATTTGGGGAATGTGATCTTCAAGATCTTCATGTGACATCACCTCCACCTCACAGTGGGGGGCCCCAGTCCGAGCAAGGCCAGTGGTGAGGACAGGAGCTGTTGCCATGTGAAAAACAGTTATTTTCCCAAACAGTGAACAATCCTAGTGATGTCATAGCCCCTAGCAGAGGGCCCAAATCAAATCGGTTCTGGTGCTGGTGCAGCTTCCTGTAACACTATCCCGAGGTGACGACTCAGCTGGCCCCGGGGCAGGAGAGCACCAGGGCTGGGGCCTTCAGGTGGGCTCCCTGCGTGTTTCTGGGGTCACAGTTCAAAAATGGCCTCCGCTCAGAGAGGGGCAGAGATTAGCAAAGAAACCCCGAGGTCCGGGACCCCCAGAAACGGGGTTCCGATGGCACCGACGCCCCTTCCCCCGTGGCAGTTGCCCGCGGGCTCAGAAGCAGGGACAGCATCTGGGGGCGAGCTAAGAGATCCCTGGGTGGGGTACTGAGTGAGTGTCCACAGAAGGGGGCCCGGGCGGGGCACGAAGTGGCCGCCCCCACGCGCCTTCACGCCCGGCTGAAATCTAATCCTCATTCTTGGGCCCTCATGTCACGGCCTCGGCCCTGGCTTCCCAGAAGCCTGATGCAGTCAAGCTGTTCCCACTCTTCTCTCTTCCTCCAAAGGAAGGAGCTTTGCGATGAAGTCATGGGAATAAAAGTTCCCTTTGCTCCTGAAAGCAATGGGAGCCTGAAGTCAACTTGCTGTGTGGCCTCCTGATGCACATGGAAGGCGACCTTTGCTGTTTACTGGAGCCTTCCCAGCACATGACATCACCCAGTTCTCAAATCACGTGATTGTACCCATAACACAGAGGAGGAAACTGAGGCTCAGATCTTGCGACTGGCCCAAGGTCACTGAGCCCCCAAATGAAACCTTGTCTGGGTCCAGCCCCGACAACTCGAGGTCAGCAGCTTCAAGGAACCCACGGATTCCATTCAAATCAACGAACAGTTACTCAGGTCCTGCTACGTGCCAGGCACAGAGTCAAGTGCTGGGAGCAAGCCACATGCATCCTGGACGGAGCTGTGGGTGATCTCAGGTCTAACAGGGGAAGAGGTCTGTCTCACTTCCACCCAGAGGGTCTCTTGGGTTCTTTTCTGCTAATTGTCTGCATGGTTTCAATAGACTGGTTTTAAAAATTAGTCTTTAGGTCACCTCTTCAGTTTAATGCAAGAGAGTGGATATCGGTGGCTCTCTTTGCCATTTTGGTAAGAATCACATTGTTAAATGTGACTGTGACCAACATAACCCCAGCCGCTGGCCCTGGAAATCCTTGGGAAAGTCTAATAGCTTTGAGGAAACTGTGTTGGCTCCTGGGGTATTCACTGCAAACAGGAAATTACTTCTCCATGAAGGTTCTCGTCGCAGTCCACTTCATTCTTCAGTTAATCAGTGGCATGCCTGGCTGCCCTCCTGTGTGCCTGGGGCTGGGACCTCTGGAGAATTGGCTGCACACAGCGGTGGCAGCCACACTTCAGGCTGAGTGCCCAGCACTGTGCTGGGGGCACTGGGAGCAAAGGTGAAAGACACAGCCCTGGAGGAGTGGACACCCTTACCTTGTGTGTGGCTGTTACCACCTCCCTCTTAAGTCACAGATAGACTCCAGGTCAAGAGACTTTCCACTGGGCCAACTGGTCGACCAACCACCTGGAGCAGTGGTCTAAATTGACTACAGTGGACTGTCATTTGAACAGTCCATTTTATTATAAATAATTACATGGGAGTGTCACCTGCCTACCTCCAGCAATCACTGACCCTGCCTGGTACAAGGAAGACACTTGATAATAAAAGGGTCTTGTCTGGGAGGTACTGGAGAACCCAAGTCCAATGGAACTGGCTAGAAGTATCCCTGGACCCTGGCTCACCTGGGAACCAAAGGGAGCCGAGCCCCAGCTGGCTGTGCTGGGCCTGGCTCCTGAGGACACTGTGTGGTCACTGAGGGCTGGGGTCTGCTGGCGGAGGGGTCGCTTCCCACGTTGCCTGTGGGAAAGACAATATGCACCCACCTGGCAGATGTGAGTACTCTGGGGCTGGGGAGGTGGTTCGCTCCCCATGGGCCTGAGAGTTTGGTGGGCTTCTGCACATGTTCCAAGGTCATCCATTCCCCTTTCTAGAAGCCAGGCTAGCCTCAAACCTTCTAGTGAGTGCTTGTTGTCCTGGGGACTTTGATAAGGGAAGAGGATGGCTTGGGCTGCTCCACGACACTCCATGTGAATTAGTACACTAGTGTCCGTTTGGACGAGAATCTGTTGAGCGTTTGATTCATATGCCAGACGTCTTTCGTTTGCCCATCCTGGTCCCTGTCCACCTCCACCCGCTCCCTTCCCCACCACCCCAGCAGGCTGGTGGCGGTGGACTGTGTCAATGGCCTGTCTTCCTTCTGATTCTGGTTGGGTTTGGCCAGTAGGAGGGACTAGCGAGAGACTGGGGGGCAGGAAAGAGAGGGAGGTGGGGCTATCTACTCCACCACTTCCTCCCCACTGGGCTGCAGGTGGCGGTGGCAGGGGCTGCGTTCCGTTAGCAAAGGCCCCAGCTTCTTGGCAACCCTCTCCCTCCAGCTGTCTTCCTGGAGTCTGCATCTCCTCCTTCCCTTGCCTCTGGAGGCAGAGGGGTGGTGAGGGTTCCCCACTGTTGCCAGTCCTGGGAGCCCCTGGAGCCCTTGCTGGATTCCCATCAGCCTGCCCACACCTTAGAAATAACCCTTTGTTTAACTCTCCTCCATCACTCAATTTGTGGGGCCGTCTGTTTCCTCCTGGGACCCTGAAGGATATGATTGGCCTGATCTAGTGCCCAGAATAGGGCAGCTCAGCTGATCAGACCAAGAGCAATTTGGCACCCCAAAGTTGAGGCCCAGGCCCTGGAGTGGGATGTGTTCCCCCCACCCCAGCACTGACCCCCATTGCCATGAGTGTGCGCAGGAGCAGAAAGCAGGCCTCACTCCAGGACGCCGCCTTTTCAACTGCCCATTTGTGATCAAAATAAGTCCATTTTGACATAGTGAGTCTTTATTTTGAAACAGCACTTGGCTGAGCTGAGGAAACATTCCAGAAGGTTTTCTTACAGAAAGATTCAAGGACCCCAGAAACCTTCCTCCTCGTTTTCACCCACTCTGCCAGCCGACTAGGTGTCCTCAGGTCCAGGGCTCCTGCTCCTTTGGGAGCAGACGCTCAGGAGGCCCTGCTCTGTCTGGGCCCTGGGGGCCAACTCCATTCTCCCACAAAAGATGGGCGTGAGGAGTCAGGGCTGGAGCAAAGTGGATCTGGGTCTCTGGAAGCTGGAAGGACCCAGGGATTCCCTCCTGAGAACCAGGGATGTCAGAGGCCCCTCTGGTCCCCCATGGATTCAAGGAGGAGCCTGTGGGCTGGCGCTGGAGAGGAAACCCAGGTCCAGAGGGACCCCGGAGCTACCCAAGGCCACAGCTGGTCAGTGCCAGGGCTGGAGCCGGGCTGGACCTAGAACTCTCGACTTGCAGCCCTGTATCCCCTGATGGAGCCTGTGACAAAGAGGGAGGGCCACTGAGCACCCAGTGAGAGTCCTTCATCGTCCCCTTGGTTACAAACTTGTGCCTTGTTCAGGATGAGACAGAAGGGGCAGGGAGGGGCCCCAGTCCGACCTGGGGGCTCTGGGACCCGCCTGAGCCACCCTGAGTCACACCACGTGCGGGCAGGAGGAGCCCTTTGGGTGCCACCCTCGCTCAGGAGGTGACCTGAGTGGGAGTAAGCCACCAACGCACCCAAGAGGCATCCCCGGAAATCCCTGCAGGACCCCGCCCCCTCGGGGCCTCCCGCTGGGGACCTTTGTTCTATCGAAGAGCCTTTGTTGTGAAGCGAGCCACCCTTTGTTGTGAAGCGAACCACCCCAATAAACAGGGGAAATCCCGCCCAGGGAGCACCCCTTCCTGCTTACCTCCCTGGGAAGCCTCTGCGGACCCCCTCTCCCCCTACCCCTCTCTCCTGGCCCCCACGCCCCACCTCCTTCCTTCCAGTGCCACCCTCTGTGCTGCCCTCCTGGGCGGCGTGATACAGAAACAGCTGGGCCTCCTTTGTCCCGAGGAGCAGCCTTTGGAAACAAGGTGGCAGCATGCAAGGCTGGGGGCAGGGAGAGCCGAGAGCCCACCTGAGCCAGCCCCATGTGCCTGAGGCCCAGAGAGGGGCGGCTGCCGACTGTAGGCCAGGCAGAAGCAGGCCCATGAAGGCCTGGTGCTGACCCCGCCCCAGGACCCTTTGCTCTGTGTCCACCCTCCCCAACAGCTTCAGCTTCCTGGGCTACTCCATGTCACCCCCCATTTGTGCAACTCCTCCGAAAGCCACCGGTGAGAGACACAGCCAGGAACAGCCACATTCAGAGAGCCAAGAGAGTTCTCACAATGCTTCCCCGGACCCCTCAGCTCCTTCCCCTGAGGTCTCAAACACGCCCATGGGTGGGAGAGCTGCCTCTCCCCTCTATACAGGCATCCAGAGGCCCAGCCCTTGCCGCTAGTCATCTTAGACTCTAGAGAGTTTGGTTAGTGCTGGCTGCGGAGACCAAGGCTGTGTCCTCTGACATCCCTGGTGGCCCGAGCCCAGCCCGAGCCCTGGAGGGGACAGTGGCTCTTAGTGAACAAACGAGTAAAAATAAGAGGGGGGCCATCCCACAGAGGTGGGGGCGCCGCTGGGCCCCCCAGGTGTGACGAGGAGCGGCTCAGTGCTCCTGGGCGGGGCTGAAGGGCTGCGTCCACTTGGAGACGTCCAGGAAGATGGTAGAGGCCCCGTGGTAGAGCCAGAGGCGGGGCAGGGCGCCGTGGCGGACCCAGGCGTCGTGCCCGCGGTCATAGGCCTCCATCTCCACGTGGTAGTCGCCGTCCATGCCCTGCCAGCGGCCGCCCGTCACGTAGAGCGCGTCGCCCAGCGGCACCAGGGCGCCGTTCTCATGCAGGCTGTGCAGGGACTGTACCTGTGGACGGTCGGCGGTCAGTGTCCAGTGGGCGGCTGGAGAGTGGTGGCTAGGGGTGCCCTCGGGGTGAGGCAGAGCTGGGGACATGCAGAGAGGACCACCAGCATCTGCCCAACATCCCATCCAGGGCACCAGCACCCCTGCTACCTGGGGACCTGTAACTCCCCGCTCCGCCTCAAGGACTCTCCCTTTAGTGGGGAGACCCCACTGCTCCCCTCCAACCTGCATCTCCCACGGTGATGTCTCCAGCTCCTCTCGCTCTCTTAGGCCCAAATTTGCTCATATCTGAAGTTGGGGAGTCAGAGAGGGTGGGGGGATGTGGAAGCCTGAGGTTGGAGTTGCCTCCCGGGGTGAGGTCTGGGCTGGGCTTCTGACTCCCAGCTGCTCTCTTGGTGGGGACAGATGTGGCCTCAGCCCTGAGAGACGCACACGTGAGGGGCTGCTCACCCCATGGGCCCCCTCGTTCTGCCCCTGCACCCCTAGCCTCGGTCCAGGGCCTCAGGAGTGCCCTGGATAGGGACTGTGGGGTGAGGGCCAGCAGCTTTCCAGAGGCCAGAGAGAGATGTAGGCACTTCTGGAAGGGCCCAGGCTGGGAGAGGACAAAGTGGAGCCTCACACAGCTGGGACCCCAGCCCAGAACTGTGGCACAGGCCAGGAGAGGCTGGCCGAGGCCCAGCTGACAGGGCCCAGGAAGAGCGCCAGCCTGGCAGGGCCCGCCCTGCACCTGTTCTGCCACTGTAATGGGGGCCTCCAGTCAGCTGAGAGCTGACGCCAGGGGACAGCTGCGGTCAGCAGGATCGCAGAGGCCCTGCCGTCGCCCAGCCACCCGGCATGGCCTACCTGGGGTGGTTCTGGAAGCAGTGCCACCCCCTGGGGCATCCAGGGACTGAGAAACTCAAGGCAGGCGGGGCAGGCCCAGGGCATCCAGCTAGTGCTGAGGCCACCATGGGTTCTGGGCACTGTCCCTCCTTCTCCGGAAGAAACATGGAGAAAGGTCAGGGCTCCGGTGCCCCCGAGGATGGGTCTCAAGATGCCCACCTCCTACCTTGTCCCCTGGTCCTGATGGAGGAGGAGGCGGGTAGCAGGCCTGGCCCTGGGGGAATGGGGCGTCCAGGAGCCGCTGCTCCCTCCTCACCCACAGCGCAGGAGTGCCCTCTCCAGCTTGACCACCTCTGGGGACTGGAGACTCACTCCCTCTTGGCCCTGGCCAGCACCAGGAAGGATGGGCTTTCTCTTAGTCCAGCTGTCCCTGAAGCAGTCCCAGTGAGCCTGGTTTTGCTCCCTGAGAAGGAGGACAGGGGCCCTGTGCTGGGGACAGAGCACTACAGTGACCAGCAGCCCACAGTCCTTGGCTCTCATCCTCAAGGGGACTCTGGGCCCTCGTGTCTCCCTTCACTGCCCACCGCCTGTGGCAACACCCCCACGTCCCCTGTCCCAAGACTGCTCTCTGCCCTAGGGTAGGGGTTGCACTGGGAATGAGGCTGAGGCCCACCTTCTGCCACAGGTTGGCCCCTGGGTCATACACGTAGACCTTCTTGGTGTTGTCGCCGACCAGGTAGAGCGCCCCCTGCAGGGCGGCACAGCGCGGCGATGACAGGTACTTGGGGAGGAAGGGGGAGGCGATGACGCTCCATGTGTCTGCGGGGACATGGCACAGGCCCACTGTCACCAGGGTGGCCCTTCTCTGAGCCTCAGGAGTGAGCCCCTTGCGGGGTTGGGGTGGGGTGGGGGCTCCACAGGCCGTGCCCACTGCCTGCACCTCACTAGCCTCACTCTCCCTGGGGTGGGGAGGCTGGTGTGGGCAGGGCTCCCTCGGATCCTTGTCCCCAGGTCATCAGCAGGGACGTTAGAGCGCTCAGAGCCCTGGCCTGGCCGCCACCCCACCCCACTCACCCTAACTGGGCACCCCTGGGCTTCTACCTCCTTTCCACTCATCCTAACTCCAGGTCCAGTCCATCTCCTGAGGAATCCTCACACCCACCCTGCAAAATGGGTCCTGTTGTCGTCTCCACCATGCAGAGAATGGGACAGAGGGTGAGAGATGGGGCAGGAGGGCCACCGAGCCAGAAAGAGCCCAGCTGGTGCCAAACACTGGCATGGAGTCCAGAGCCCCAGCTGGCACACCCCCAGCCTTGAGGGTCTGGGTCACGGCTCCCGGTCCATGAGGCCAGTTCCAGGCGGACACCCCAGCCAGACAGCTTTCAGGACCTGGGGCTGGGCTTCCGCGTCCCCTGCCCCGGGCACTCTGCCTCCAGCCCCCAGGCCCCCATACCTCTAGGCTGCAATGGGACTGTGGCCCTGTGCCGATGACCCCCTTGGTTCCCTGCCCCTGCCTGTCTCCACTGTCCCATCCACCTTTGACGGGACTGCAGCCCTTGTAAGAGGCCCCTGGCTGCCTGCTCCCAGCCCCCAGCCCCCTGCCCGGCCCGCTTGCGTGCACCTGTGACGGGGCTGTAGCACTGCAGGGCCAGCGCGTTGTACTTGCAGGCGCTGGAGCCCACCAGGTAGAGCCGGCCCTGGCAGCCGGCTGCGGAGAAGTTGCTGACGTACTTGAGGGCCGGGCTGACGGGCGTCCAGGTGTCTGTGTAGGGGTCGTAGCTCTCCACCTCCACCACGTCCAGAGTGGTGCCTGCGGGGGAGGGGGGTCAGGGCTGCAGGGGGCTGGGGACAAGGAAGGTTCCTGGACACGTAGGGTCCGGGGCTCTGTAGAGGCCGCAGGGACGACCCTGGGTGCCCCAGGAGGGGAAGGGAAGTGAAGGAGGGCCCGGCCACGCGAGGTGGGTGTTACCCCCATTTCACAGAGAGGGAAGCTGAGGCCCGAGAGCTGAGGGCCACACTGCCAAGAAGTGGGCACTCAGGAATATTCGACTCCAGGGTGCGAGATGGGGGCCTCACAGCAAAGCCCAGCCACTGCCAACCCTTCAGAGCCCAGAGCGGGTTGGAAGGGTGCTGGTGGGAGCCCCTGGAAGCTGCCACTCCCAGGCCTCTCACATGGTGGGCGTCCTTCCCTGGAGTGGAGGAGGTCAGTCCTGGGGAGCTATAAGAGGTAAGACCCCGGAGCTGTAGGCAGCTCCCCACTCCAGCTCCCAAGAGTCTGAATGTGACAACCATGCAGACCTGCCTGCGGGTGGGAGGGCACGCCTGCTCTCACTGGGGACACTCTCCACCTCTGAGAGGCTGGGGACCCCGAGTTGCCTTGGGCTCAGGACCTATGTGTGCTCTCTGCTCTGGGGGGGCGACACGGCAGCCACTGAGAGAAAAGGGGTTACCTGGGACAGGTGGGGGCACTTAAGAGTGGTCTCAGGGCCAGTTTGTCACCTACGGAGGTGTTGGGAAACTCTTGCTCTGCCACACGCATTTTGTTTTTCAATATTCATCTAACTGTGCGTCTCTGGGGCCACTCCTTGCTGTAAGCTCTGGGCTGTAAGGGAGATAAGGTGGGCCCTGTGCTGAGGCTGGGGGCATGGTGGGGACAAGGGTGACAGCAGAGGGACCCATTGTGGGTCACCTCACCCCAGGGATTTCACTGAGGAGGTGACCCCGAGCTGAGGGCTGAGCCCAAGGCTCTGGGATGGGAGTGGTCATCCCCGCTGGCAGCTCGAGGCCCCAGCTCCTCACGGGTCCCCTTCTGGGGACTGACTCATGGCCCTGTTTTCTGGATCCCCGAGCGCATCAGAATCACCCTGGAGCTGGCTGCCTAGGCTGGTGCCTGAGCCTCAGCCCAGGATGTCCAGGTGACAGCACAGCCTGGCTGGGAGCCCTGGTGTAAGGCTTGTTTACCCAGACAGTGAGCTCCTCAGGGCAGGACTGGGGAGCAGTGCCTCTGTTGTCCCTGAGGCCAGCATGGGGGGTCTCTGGTCCCCAGTGAGGGCATGGGGGTGGGAGCTGTTACTGCAGGATTGAGAGGCTCCCAGGCCGTGAAGAGGAGGGGAGGGGGCTCCGACGAGCAGGAGGTGCCCAGGGAGTGTGGAGAGGGGGGCCTTACCGCCAATGGCGTAGATCTCGCCGTTGAGCGCCGCACTGGCATGGTTGGTGCGGGCCTTCCGCATGGGCGCCACGGGCTTCCAGGCTGCCTCCCTCAGAGGGAAGCACCAGGCCTGGGTGGTTGACCAGGTGTCCGTCTTGGTGCCCCGAGAGCCACCTGACGGGAGAGGTTCTTTCCACTTGGGTGCCCACCAGCCTGGGGTCTCTGGGCCAGTGGGGGCTGGGTACCAAAGGTCCTGCCCCCTTCTCCCCCTGCCAGTCCTCTGTGCTGCCAGACACCGGGCCGGGGTGGGACGGTGGTGGCACATATGAATTGGACAGGTCCCTCCATGCCCCATACACCAGGGGGACAAGATTAGCGGTTTCAAACCTCCATCAGTGGAAGCTTTTTCCCCAAGAAAATCTTACAAGGATCCCAACTTCTAAGATATAAGAGAGCAGAGTGACCCCCCCCCCAACATCACGCAGTTCCTTCTGGGGAGGCCCTGGCTGTAGGAGCACAGCAAGGCCACCCAGGGGGTCCACATCAGAGAGAATATGGAACGATTCCCTGCACCCATGTGCGGACCCACGGACTTTAAATTTTCTGGTTTTCACATCATGAAAAGTTCTGGAAGAGTCTTGACTAAACTGTCAGGCGTCCCATTGAGTGAAGGGGGAGAGCTGGTTCTCCCTGGAGTCACGTTCAGAGTTCAGATCGGCTACTCGGATGAGGCTGCTGGGAGCTTGGCTCCCTCTGAGCCAGCTCTGCAGGGACCCCCGGGTGCCCACCTGTGACGTAGACGGCATTGTTCAGCGCTGCCAGGGAGAAGCCCCACTTGTGGTAGTCAGGGAAGTCCGGGAGTGCCATCCACCTCTCTGGTAGGAAGAGAGAGAGGCAAGGGGTCAGAGGGGCTGGGCTTGCTGCTGGGGCCTCCCCTTGCCCCTCAGCGCCCCTCCACTCAGTGGCTGCAGAGATGTCCCCTCACTGATGGAAGGGCAAGGGGCAGGACTCAGCTGGCCACCGTGGTGAGGGGTGACACCTGCTGGGGCAGGGTCCAAGGCCCCCGTCTCCTCATGCCACCCCTCGGAGCCTGGCACCCAGAGTGGACCCGGGACCACACCCAGGGTGTGCAGAGAGGCAGCCAAGACTCCAGAGGCTGGGTCTCACCCTGACCCTGCAGCTGACCCCACTGACCCCAAATGGACCTTTCAGTTGGGTCCCACCTCAGTCAGATGGGGTAACGGATTAAGGGGCCTAATCTCTGGTCACTAGTGAGTTATAACACAAGCATGATTCATTCGTTCATTCCTCATTCATTCATTCATCCTGAGCACCTTCTGTGCTCATGTGTAGCCAGGTGCCTGTAGGGGATCAGACTCAGGCCTTGCAGCAGGCAGAGTGGATCCAAATCCCAGCTCTTGCACACCAGCCGTGTGGCCTTGGACAAAGCCTAGCCTCGGTTTCCTCGTCTGTAGAATGGGGGTAATTCCCACCTCTCAGGGAGATGTAGGGGCTGCATGTGACGACGCCTGTCTGTCACAGGGTGACTGCTTAGCTGGTGGTGGCTGTTAGGACTATTGTCCCTACTGTGAGGGACAGAGTAAGGTGCCCACATTGAACCTGCCTTTCTGGAGCTACATGAGGTAAACTGAGGCACAAGATGAGAAAATGCTTTTAAAAAATCAAAATGAGACAATAAACGTGGGAATGTAAGTCCTATAAATGGACACATTTTGGGTGTTTGTGGAAGGCTGTGAGAGAGACCCAGGCCTGCGGGACGTCCCCTGGGGAGACTCTGTTTACTATTTACAACAGTTTTCAGGACACGCGGCACTCCGGGCCTTGCTGGGGGCCTGCCTGCTGGGCAGGGACTGCATGTCCCCCTGACTCATGTCTGTGTCACTCCATGGTGGGGATTTCCCAGTGGGCACCAGGCCTTTGCCTGCCAGTGTCTCCCCGCCCTCCCCTCAGGTTCCAAGGGACAGCTGCTCCCAGGCGGAGCCAGCAGAGTCATCTCCTGACGTCAGCCCCCAAATCCCCTCTCATCAGCCCCTGACCTGGGCAGCCGGCCTCCAACTTCCCGGAGCCCGCCAGCGTCTGACGCCATGGGGATGGCGGCGACCTGCCCAGTGGCCCTCGGACATCAGCCAGCCCCCATCAGTGTTTTCCGAAGAGCTGCCCGGGGCCAGCGTGGCCCTTCCACAGCCCCTGCTGCCCACTCACTCTTCCTCCTTTCCCAGGAGGGAAGGGATGCCCCGCCCCCGCAGGAGAGGCCACATCCAAATGACAGGCCTGGTCCCCATGCCCGTTGGCTCCTCATTACAGCTGTGTGAGGAGCCCATTTCACAGAGGAAGAAACTGAGGCTGGGGGAGGTGAAGTCACCTGCTCAAAGGCTGGAATTAGAACCCCATTCGGGCTGACCGAGAGCTCTCAACCCCTGCCTGCATGCCCAGCCCCCGGTTTTCCTCCTGGGGCCATGGTTCCATTGGGCGCACAGGGGAGGGGGCACCAAGAGGAAGCCACCAGCCAGGCTGCCTACCCCACTCAGGCCAGCGGCCACCTCCCACACAGTGCAGTCTGGGCAGCAGAGCCCTGTATCCGGGGCCACAGGGCCTAAAAGACCAAAGTTGGGGGCTGTGGCTGGATGCAGGAGGGCCACAGTGGCCCCCATCAGACTCGCCTCCCTCTGCCGTGGCCCCCAGGCTCCCCTGCAGCCCCCCGTGAGGCCCGGGCACACCCAGGACGGTGGACTCTGCCCCTCGCTCGCTCCACCCGCTAGGAGGACACAGGCTGTTCACGTTGATGCAGGGTCTGCAGGCCCAAGCCCTGGGCACCAGGAGGGCGTACTCACTGGCCTTGGTGTCGTAGAAGGCGAAGTTCCCGGGGTGTGGGGCGGGCTCCTCGGCGCCCTCCTCGTCCTCCTCCAGCGCCCGCCCACCCACCACCACCAGAACCTCCTCCAGCGTCTGCGGGAGGGCCAGCAGCGCCTGTGGGCCCAGAGGGCTGCAGTCAGAGGGGCAGGGCTGCTGTCTCCCCCGTACAATGGCCCCAGGCGCTGGCAGCCTCGGTGGCGTTTTCTGGGGCAGGGGGTGGCATGGATGCGTGGGGGTGGCCGTGGGTCCACCGGTGTGCCCCTGTGTCGGTGCACATGCATGGAGTGGGGCGAGCTTCAGCGTGCATGTGCCCATGTGTTTGTGCATGTGCCCATGTGAGCGTGACACACACGCTCACATGGGGCCAGGGATGGCAGCAAGTACTCAGAACTGGGGGAGGTGGGGACAGCAGGTCCATGTGTGCCCCAAGTGTGAGCGCTGCTCCCCTCCCAGCCATCACCACATGGCTTTTGGAGGTGTTCCTGCACCCACTTTTGGAACCGACCCCCAGACCCTGTCCCCAGTACCCCACATAAGCCTCCCCCTCCCCCACTACCGGGAGCCCAGCTCCCCGGGGCAGCACGTAGCAGGTCGCACTAGGATGGCCCTGGCCCGGCAGCCAATGCTGGAATGGTTCCACCCTGGTTGGTAACTAGCCACCGCCCAGAGCTCCTAGGCCCCCGGGTCCCACCGCCTCTCTGACCCCATCCTACTGAAGGCCTGGACCTCCCACCTCCAGCAATTCCCAAGGAGCGCCTAGTAGGGCAGGGCCTCCTGTGGCTCCAGCACAAGGCCGGCCCGTTGTGCCTGCAGAGCCCGGTGGTGCCTGGCGGTGCAGGGGTTAGTATTCTGCCACCACACACAGCTCCCAGGGCCTGAGCCACATCTTTGTCCCCAGACATGGCGCCTGAGGAGCCTCCAGAGCAAGGCCCCGAGCCGGCAGCCCAGCAGTGGACAGACTCATCCGCTCCTTGTCACCTCATCAGGACCTGCCCCGCCCGCCAGGCCCACTGCCAGCACAGATAGGAATTGCACCCCATAAACTCTTGATCAGCTTCCTAAGGGTCAGGTGGTGGCCGGCTGCCATGCTGTCCGTGCTCTTTGCCTGTACACAAGTGGTGCCATCTTCCTGGATTGTTTTCCCTCCTGCCCAGCTCCTATTCCTTCCTCTAAGGCCCAGCTCAGATGCTGCCTCCTCTGGAGAGCTCTCCCTGACTACCCCTTCCTCCGAGGATGCCCCCAGCCCAGCGCTGCCCTTTCTCATGCTGCCTTAGGTCTGTTTCCAGGTTTGTCCCCACTGAGCTGTGGGCTCCTCTAAGACGGGGGTTGAGAATGATCCCTCTGGGTTCCCCTTCCCCTGACATCCAGGGTGTGGCACACACAAGGGCACAGTCTGTACTTGGGGATGAACGGTGATGCCCTCACAGATAACCGGCCCAAGGCAGGTAGAGTTGGAAGGTTGGGGACACCTCGGGGATGCCCACTCCGTACTCTCCATCCCCATGCAGCTGGGGTCTCCAGTGCTCCTCTCCCTGCTCCTCCCCTCACTCACCCCCTCATGGCCCCGGGACAAGGCTGCCTGACACGCCTCCGACTCCCGGATCAGCGGCTCTGTGGCCAGCAGCTGCTGCACGCAGGGCCTGGGCACGGCATCCAGGTGCACCAGGCTGAGCAGCTCCGGCAGGTGGGCAGCCCGGGCCTGTGGGTCATGGCGCACCCAGCGCAGCAGGGCTTCCAGCCGGCTTTGCTCTGGCTGCACCTGCAGCAGGTCGCTTGCCAGACAGGTGGCCAGCCGGTCTTGGGACAGCTGCAGGAACTCGTCCTCACGTGCCACGGCCTCAAAGTTCTCTCGCAGGAAGGCCCAGGCCTTGGCAGCCACGCCGAGCAGTCCCTGCTGCTCCCCAAACTCACAGATGCCAAGGCAGTTGGTGGCGTCCAGCTGCTGCTGCAGGTAGCGGCCGCAGACCTTCTGCACGGCCGGGAAGTGGAGGCGTGCGGCCGCGCGGGTCAGGGCCTCCACGTTGCCCTGGGTGACGGTCAGCCGGCCCGTGTACACGAAGTCCACCAGCTGCCCCACCATGGCGGGCTCCACGTCCCGCAGCTCCACGCGCGCGGAGAAGCTCTCAGCAAAGTCGCCTGCAAACATGGCATGGAAGTAGGGGCTGCTCAGCGCCAGGAGTCCGCGGTGGCAGGGCAGCTCCTGGTCACCCACCAGCAGTGTGACGTCAGCCAGCTTGGGCTGAGAGCGCAGCCGCTGCAGGCCGTCCAGCATGTCCTGGGCGTGCGAGGGCAGGTGGAAGTCCAGGTCGTCCACATTCCGCACCATGGCTGCCGGTGCCACCTCGGGGGCCCCCTGTGGCCCACCCACTCACAGGGAAGAAGGGCCTGGAGATCCTAGGGACAGAGGAGAGCAGGGTCAGCCAGGGGTAAGGGGACACTACCCCGACACTACTCACTCGCTTGAGTCACCCGTCTGTCTGACGTTGTCTGTCAGTCCTCTCTGCCCCTCAACAAGCATTGGCTGAGCATCAGGGACATGGGACGTGCATCCCCCCTGACGCAGCCCCACAGCCCGTGAGGACGGCACAGCACTCTCCCCGTTGCACAGTGGGGAAGCTGAGGCTCAGAGGGCAGGAGAGCTACCCATGGCCAGGCCATCAGGGCAAGACGGGGCCAGCAAGAGAACCCAAACCCTGGGCCCCCCCAACTCTGGGCTACGCAGCACAGACACCCTGGAGCATGGGGCTCACTGTTGCCCCCAACTCTCGAGAGGCTTCCTCTGCTCCCGGATCCAACACTGCTGGGGAGGGCCTTTGAAAGCTTTGCTGCCCTACCAATCCTCACTGTCCACCGTTACATGAGCCTGGGCCTGCTGAGACCTTGCTGGGTGACCTTGGGTGAGCCACGCCCCTCTCTGGTCCCAGTCTCCTCATCTGCAGATTGAGAGGCTGGTGGGGAAGGGGCTGCGTGGAGACGCCAACAGAGTGCTCCCCACATCCTGAGCTTGGCACATGCGTTCGTCACTTAGCCCTCACGACAGCCCTGAGAGGTAGGTGCCATTAGGGTTCCTTTTACATGGGGGGAAACCAAGGCACAAAAGGCTCAAGTCACTTGTCCAAGATCACACAGCTAGGAAGTGGGGGAGCCAGGCTCGGGGGCTGTGCCCTGAACTCCCAAGTTTCATGTTGCTGGGTGTAGGTTGGTAAAGAAACAACCGAAGGATACTCTGGAGGGTGATTTTGCATCCCAGCGTTCACATCATCTGATTCAGCAGATCCTCTTCTGGGCTTGTTTAATTATGTGCACATTTATTTATGTGCTTCTGATATATTACCCCAAGAAAGAAATGCTCTGCATGGAGGCCTTTGCCCCGAGTGACCCACAGCAGCAGAAAGCTGCACAGTCGAGAAACAGCCCGTCCACTAGGGGGCACCCTCCAGAGTCATCAAAGGGAAGGACAAGGACCAGTGCATCCATGGGGACAAGATGCTTGGTGAAATTAGCGCAATCGAAGTGACAAGGCGCCGTAAGGAGAACCGGCAAACTATAGACGCCTAAGGGTGGGAGGGCCTTCCTGAGTTACGGGGCCGGTGCGGGGAGCTTGAGGCCCCCTTCCTCACGGGTGCCCGTCTCCATCCTGCAGAGCAGGGAAGTGCCCAGGGAGCCCCCCTCAGGGCCCAAGGACCTGCCTGGGCTCATGCCCAGACAGGAGAGGTCAGGGGGCCGCCGGCCGTCCTGCCTCACCCCCCTCCCCGGGAGGCCCTCTGGCTGGGGTGAAGGCAGCTCTACCCTCCCAGGGGAGGCCAGGAGATTAGCCGGGCAGCCGCCGTCCCCAGGCCTCGCATTCCCATCATTGTTGTGCTCCTTTTGGCCAGCTGCTAGGGCAACAGGAGCCAGCAGGCAGGAGCGACCAGCCACCTTCCCTGGGGGCCTCAGCCCTGTCTGCTGACATCTACCGCCTTGCAGTCCCAGCATGGGGCAGGGGCTTCTGGAGGGTCTCAGAGCCTCCACCGGATGCCAGCCCAGGCCAGGAGTGAGCAGGGCTGAGCGGGCAGGACAGCAGAAGAAGGGTCTTAGTCAAGCTCCAGCCGGTGACTGAACACTGGGAACCTGGCTGCAGTAGGAGGGTGTGGTCCAGCCTCCCCCTGCCCACCTCTCCAGCCAGGACATGAAGGAAAGTGAACCCGCTGAGCCTCCGCCCCCTCCAGGGGCCCGGCTTGACCAGGGCGGGGGTCTCTCTCCAAACCACCCAGTGCTGTGATCTCCAGGCCTGCCGGGCTGTCCCACCATAACCCACCCTCCCCTGCTGGTCCCTGCCCCAGTCCCCACCTCCACCTCCCATCTGCCCCACTCCAGAGCCCCCTGGACCCTACCTCTCAGTCGTCTTCTGGACCCCCGTTGCTGAGCATGCAGGCCAGAGAACAGGACTGCCCATCAGGCGAGGGGGCATAGAGGGCCTGCTGGGCTGGGCTGGGCTGGGTGACCACGTGCTGATGAAAGGGTATTTTTAGCCTCTGTCTGCATCGGGAGGGAGGGAGGGAGGGATGGGCAGGTGGGGGAAGGAGAGAGATGACTGCTCCCCCCGTCCGCTCTGAAAGCCCACACTGGCCCCTAGGGACAGCAGGAGGCATTCCAGGGCGAAGGCGAGTCTGGGCTTAACCCCTCCCAGAGGCGCTGGGCTCACTGGGGAAGGGGGTGCAGCTCCCCCACTTCTGTTTCCTTATCTGCAAGAGGGGGCCAGTGGAGCCTGTGCTGGGGACTCTGGAGTGGACTTGTGAGGGCCTGACAGGTAGCAGCTTCCCCCTGGTTATGGACGGGTACCCATGTTGCCTCTCGTTCGTCTGTCAAGCGGGAAAAAGTGACTATTATGAAGAAATGCAGGTTGGTCAGCAAAGGCTTTCAAAACCTGGGGTCCGTGGTGGTGGGAAAGTCTCTGGTGGTTAAGGGGTGCCAGAGAGGTGAGGAGGCATCCAGAGTACCCACCATTCTGGTGACAGGGACACGGGATCCTGAGGATCCATCCATGTCATATTGTGGCCTTGGTCTCGGAGCTGCCCCAGATATCTTTATTAGTCGTGAGAGCCAAGGACGGCTAAGAGGTGGGTCATCTAAAAATACAGCAGCAGCGGCTGGCGGCCTTCCCTGCATCCTGGGTTCACGCGGTCACAGGGGAATCCCTCACACCTGGGTCTCAGCTGGGCTCAGGACACACAGGCCCTGACCCAGTCAGGGGGTTGAGCCCGGGGGGCTGAGAGGGGGGTCTCCGGACATCTCTTATGCCGGTGGTCAGAGCAAAGCTTCCCAGCCCAGGGCCTGCAGGCATGCAGCCTGGCGTGGCCAGGTGGGACCTCTACCTGTCGGCCCCTCTTTCCTTTATCCACATGGGCCTTACTAACACAACTGTTTTCTAGATGTGCTGGGACGTGGGAGAGTCAGGGAGGGCCAAATCCCACAGAGGCCTCCCGACGCCCACGAGGGATTGGCTTGATGCTCTTATGGTACAGAGAGGCCCGGAAGGCCCCCAGGGTGACACCCTCACTCCTGGCAGAGTTAGGTGATTTCTCAAGGGCGTCGGGGTATCCTGACAGCTTGGGCACCTGCCTCGCCAGCCCAGCTGCTGGCCCTGCTCCCTGCTGAGGGGATGGTTGTGAGCTGGGAACCAGCCTCTGCTCTCACCATGTGTGCGGTCTAGTGGAGGCCCAATCGTCACTCAAATAACTGCTATGATTGACCAGCTGATTACAAGGTCACAGGTCACTTCCATGCGCTGTTCACCCACAGGCTTCCTGATTCCATGCTTCCCTCCCCAGCCCAGCCCAGCCTAGTTTAGCCCAGTCATAGCCCAGTCCAGCTCAGCCCAGCCCAGTCATATCTCAGCCCAGCCCAGTCCAGTCCAGCCCAGTCATATCCCAGTTCAGTCCAGCCATATCCCAGCTCAGCCCAGCTTAGCCCAGCCCAGCCCAGACCAAGGCCCTGCCCCTGCCCCAGTCCCAGGACTTTTCCCCTAGCCTTGGGCATCAGCCTCATGTTGGGGGGCCCTCATGGATGTCCCCAGCTCTCACTGTGGCCAGGACCATCCCAGGGAGGGCGCTAGAGGGGGAACAGAGGCGTTGGTCTTGCCTCGGGCCCCCCCCACCCCCGCTCCATTTGCAGGCAGAACACGAAGGGTTAATGCATTCCGACTCAGGCTGGAGGAGATGAGGACAGGGCATTCTGATGACAGGCCACCGTGCCCAGAATGGAGGCCTTTCAGGGATGTGGGGATGGGAGACCCAGCACCTCGCATGACACATCAGTTTGGGAAACTCGATACCAGGGACTCAAAAGGGATCCTCATCATCAGATTGCTAATGAGTGGTGTGGTTTTTAAAAATACGCTGCTTGGTTCTTTCTACGATGATAAAAATAGCACACGTTCATTGTGGAAAATTTGGAAAACACAGAAAAATACAAAGCAGAAAATTCCACATGTAAAAGACAATCCCCATTAACACACTGGTGTCTTCCCTGCCAGGCTATTACTATTCGCAACATTAGAATGACTGCAGTTACGTTTTCGTGTCTTGTTTTATCAATATCATGAGCATTTCTGATATGATCAGTCTTTGAAAACATGATTTAAAATGTCATCGTGGGCCGGCCCTGTGGCTTGGTGGTTAAGTGCGCGCGCTGCATTGCTGGTGGCCCGGGTTCGGATCCCGGGTGCGCATCGAGGCACCACTTCTCCGTCCATCCTGAGGCCGAGTCCCACATACAGCAACTAGAAGGATGTGCAGCTATGACATACAACTATCTACTGGGGCTTTGGGGGGAAAAAATAAAATAAATAAAATCTTAAAAAAAAAAAAATAAATAAATAAAATAAAATGTCATCGTATTAGGAATATGTCACACTTTAAGAAGTTGGAAGTGACACCTAGTCACTTCTATTAATGGACATTTGGGTTGTGTGCCATTTTGGACTATGATAACTAATATGGTGTCACTTCTGTGATTATTTCCCTGGAATAGATCAGGGAATGAAATCACCAAGTTGAAGTTGTGACCATCTTTATAGCTCGATGCACGTCCCAGAGGGCCATCCAGCTTGGGCGAGGAGGGCACCTTCTATGGCAGGAGGTAAAACGGTCCCCTCCGCTTGGTCTGGCGCATTCATGCTGTGAGGCCGTCCCGGCACAACTCTTGGGGGGTTTTATGGCTTTACGTGCTCACAGTGTCTCTTATTCCATCTGGGATTTATTTTGGGCATGGGGTGCATAAGGTCATACTTTTTATTCCTCAGAATAGTTTACCAATGCTCTCAGAGTTACTATTGACAATTCCTTCTTCCCCGTGGACTGGCTGTGGCACCTTGACCTCAGGGCAATGCTTTCTGTGTGGAGTGTCAGCTTTCTTTCTCTATTCTGGGCTGTCGATCTGAGGGACAGTATTCTGGGGTCAGCACCACCTCGTTTGGTGGACTATTGCTCTATAATTATGATGTCTTCCTATCTGAAATGGAAGCCTCTTCATTACTCTTCTATTGACATTTTCTTGTCAGTCGTGTTAGTTGTCCGTTGCTGCATAACAAATTACCCCAAAATCCAGTGTCTTACAACAACAAACATTTATTATCTCAGACAGTTTCATGGCTCTGGGAGCACTTCAGCAGGTGGTTCTGCCTCAGCACCTGTCCTTAGCTGGCCACAGGGTCAGCGGGACTGCAGTCACCTGAAGGCTGGACTGGGGCGGGAGGGCCCCCCCCCTTCCTCCCCACGTGGGCCTCTCCGTACGGCTGCTCCCAACATGGCGGCCAGCTTCCCCCAGAGACAAGAGAGCAGCGAAGATGGGAGCCTTTTATAACCTACTCAACGTGTTACCTGTGGCTCCTGCCGTGTTCTGTGGTGCAACGTAGGAGGGGCTACACAGGACGTGACTACCAGGAGGCAGGTGCTTTCTTGGAGGCTGGCCTCCACAGCTGGCTTTGTTCATTTTTTCTTTCAAATGAACTTTTAGAGTCATTAAGAAAAAGCGCTCAACTTTGCATTAAACTTGTACATGGATATGCGAAGCACGTACACCGTTACCATCTTTGTTCTAGCCACGAGGGAAAAGGTGCCATTCCTTCACCATCTTTGATCCGACTCTGTTCTTCTCCATATCTGTCCTGCACACATGTACGGGCCAGAGAGACGGAGTCCCTTTCTCCAGTCTTTTTGCAACTCATCTGAAAGCCCCTGGGGTTTGCACCTCGTTTGGTGTCTGCTCACCTCACTCAAGCCTGCAGCCTATGGAGGGGCTCCGGGGTCCTCGGTGAGTTTTTGCCAAACGGACGACAGGGGTATAGGCACCAAACAGGCTTATAGCTGAGACTGTGGCCTTGCCGGGGCCAGCCCTGCCTACTGCAGGGACACCTGCTTCCCACAGGTGAGCTGCTAGTGGGCCGGGGGTTTCCAGGCCGCTCAGCATCAGAATCACCTGCAACGTCTTGAAAAAAAAAAAAAACAGCTTTCCCAGCTCCAGCCCAGGCTGAAGGACTCAGCATCCCTGGGGCCACCCACAGAACACGGTGCTTTTATAAGACCCCCAGGAAGCAGGGTGTCTGCAAGAGGCATTTGGGAGCCACCCGGAGTGCCCAGCAGAGGTGCCCTCTCCTTCCTTCCAGGCCTCAAACCCAGGCCTGAGCCTCCCTCACCCCTTTCCTGGCAGCCCACCCCTGGAACCCAGGATACTTGTGGGCCGCTCCCTGCTAATCTTGGTCCAGTCCCTCAACAGGGAAACTGAGACCCGGAGGCCATGGAGGGCCTTGCCCGAGGCCACAGCAAGTGGGCAGGGACGCCCTGAATTGGGCATGCTGGTCCCCTGCCAAGGCTCTCCTGAGCACCCCCAGCCATCAGGCGACCACTGAGGCCGGGCTCTGTGTCCGCCCCCTCGCCTCACTCCCATCCCCCTCCCTTGCCAGGCCCTCGGAAGAACAGTATCCTGCAGGCAGCACCCGAGGAGCGAGACATCAGAGTGCCCAGTACCTCTGACACCCCGACCCCAGGGCTCCCCCAGCCCCACCTCAGACCTGCACCCCTGCCAGCCTGGGCGGCGGCAGTGCCCTGTGGACCAGCCCTCATCTGGCTCCATCGGTCGAGTTTTGGGGCCAAGAGCCAGAGCCTCACTGATCAGGCAACAGCGTCTGAGATGCCCGCGGCTGCCCAGAGTCAGCACCCTGCTTGCTACAACCTGCTCCTTGAAATACTGACGTACCTGGGCGAGTGTTACTGTCGTTCCCGGACAGAGAACCCGCCTGTCTGGGACCTCAGTCCACCCTCACTGTGACCCTGGGAGTGGGCAGGTCAGCATGCACCCATTTTACAGATGAGAAAGTGGAGGCTTTTGGGGGATAAGGAAGTTGCCTCTGGTGTTTCTACTGAGCTGAGATGAGCACTTGGCTCTCAGTGTCCACCCAGTGCCGGGACCCTCTCTGGGCACAAGTGGCTCCCCACCGAGGGCAACAAGCACAGCGTGAAGGCTGGCCAGGAAGGGGAGTCTTTATTTAGCAAACTCATGTCCAGTGTCGGCTCTATGGGAGGGTCTGGAGTCGGGGCCAGCACCTCCTCCCTTCCTGATCCTGGCAGCCCTAACCCCCTGACACCCCCCCAGTTCATATCTTCCCGAGTGTCCCTCCCTGTGGGATGCTGAAACAGCTGGCTGGGAGGGCACTCTGTTCCATCCAACAACTCGCCTACTGCCCTTCAAGCTCTGCAGGCGGGTGGGAACACTGCAGAGACCCCTGTCCCAAGAGAGCCAGGCTGCAGGGAGGCAGTGGCCAGTGGAAGATTCCTGAAAAGAGTCCTCCCCACACACTGCCTGTTGGGGCCATCATACGCTGCAGGACAGCCCTTCCCCAAAGCCCTGTGGGCTTGGGCCAGCCTCCCCGGGCCCCACACTGGGTGGAGGCCCATCCTCCTGGCTGCCATGGGGGCTGGGGACAAGCCACATCCCAGGGCCAGTCATTCAGGGCTCAGTCCCCAGTGCCCTGTTCACGAGATACTCTGCAGCACCTGGTGGCCCTCAGAGGGAGCATCCACTTCCTTTCCTCAGTCCCTCGTGGAGGAGGCGTGGGTGACACCCGGGTGACCACAGGAAGTGGCCGCACCTCATCAGGGCCCAGCTGATGTGCCCCCACCCCTGCCATGCGTTTTCCTCTGGAGCCGGGTTCACCTTGGAGGGTGGGGTGCCGGCCCCCTCTGCTCAGAGCCCCCTTCAGCCACCGCCTCTCTCACAGATACTCCATCCATTCTTGCTCTCAGGAGCCTGCAGGTGGGGCCCTGCGCTGCCTCGGTTTGCGTGGCCGGGGCCAGGGGCCAGTGGTCAGCTGGAGGACAGGAGCCCCACAGGGAGCCCTCCTTTCTGGAGCACACTGGGGTGGGGCACTGGCATGGCGAGGCAGTGGAACACATCTGTCAGCAGGTGGCTGTGTGTGACTGGCACACATGTCACCGTGGCCCATCTCCCTGACCTGGAACATTCCAGAGGGCAGTCGGGTCTGACAGGAGGCCTCTTGCCCATCAAATCCCATTCTCTCCAACCTCCAGCTCCTCTCCCACTTCACAGACTGGGGAAAGAGGCCTGGGGAGGTGAAGGGGCATGGCCCAAGGTCACCAGAAGGTACCGAGGCAGGACGAGGGGAGGGCAGACGGAGGCTCCAGCTGCGGCCCAGACTACCAGCACTGGGGGAACAAAGGGACGGGACGCCCAGGCGATTTGGGACACTGGAAAGAGGCTCCGGGGAAGTGGGCTGGCATCCCAGGTGCCCGGGGGACAGCCAGGCAGAGGGACCCGGGGCTGGGACGGCAAGTCGTCTAACTTCAGGGCCGACCAGGAGACTGACAGGGCTCCTTGGGTTCAGTGGTGAGAAGGATTCTGCAGCTGAGTCCCAGCACTGAGGAGGCCGCACCTGTCAGGGGGCAGAACTGGAGCGCAGCAACTAGCAGGCTGAGTATCTGCTAGCCTGGCCTCGGCGTCACCTGGCCACCAGGTGGGTGAAAAAGGAAAAGAGGAAAGAGAACCAAAACCACCCCCAAAACCCCATTCTAGAGGAAGGCTGGCTGCCAGCCCTTCTCACTGTCCGAAGCTGAACATTTCAGCCTCTTTTTCCTTCCAGAAGGCAAAGCTCCGGCCGATGTAGCCACAGATGTCCTCATTGTTGAAGCTGCCCCACTGGGAGCCAGGCCCCAGCCGCTGGGCCGCAGGCTCCAGGCCGCTGCTGGGGATGGCAGCGTGGGGCAGGGGCCCGAGCAGGGTCAGGCCTGTCTTGCGGCCCGGCTCCACGTCCCAGGCGGGACCACGGCTGGAGCCGAAGAAGCGAGCTTTGATGTCCTCGAAGCCATCAGTCCAGGTGCGGCGGCCGGCAGCCACCTCATCCGTCACGGCCTTGTGGAAGGCACGCACGGCCTCCCAGCCGTGGGCACCCAGGTGCTCGAAGACCTCGAAGCAGAGCAGGTGGCGCATCTTGCGCTCCTCGGCCGGCAGGTCGCACTCCAGGAGCTGGAAGTAGCCCAGCAGGAAGAGGTCCAGTGTGAGGCTGCCGTAGGGCACGGGCGCCCCGTCCACGTGGGGCAGGAACTGCTCGGGGGACAGGGGCCCGCGGGGCCGCCGGCTCAGCCGCCGCAGCTGCCGGGCCGGCACGTGCGCCATGATGGCCTTCCAGTTGCCCAGCAGGTGGGCGATGATGCTCTGCTGCTGCCACAGGTGGCCGAGCCGGGGGCCCTCGCTGGGCGGCAAGGAGGGTGGCCGAGGGCCCTTGGCCACCTCCTGCCCCCGCGGCCTAGCACGGCGGGCCTCCAGGGTCCTGCAGGCGGCCGTCTTGAGGGCTGGCGTGTAGGCCGACTTCTTCCAGTGGCTGAGGAAGAGCATGACGATGCGCTCCTTGCGCAAGTTGGCCAGGTCGGGACCAGGCACGGCGCCCGCCTCTGATGAGGCCTCCTCACAGCTGATGCCCAAGTCGCTGGCCTCCTCTGCGTCCCCTGGCCCAGGCTCCCCTCCCATCAGGGCCCCGTGGGGCTGCGGGGGTGCCGGCCAGGAGCCTCTCAGGCACTGCCCGGGCTGGGCCCCCGCCTCACTGGGGCCCGGGTTTGGGGCACAGGGCAGGCCAGGGGCCGACTCGAAGTTGCCTCGCAGCATCCGCACGGATACCCCGCACTCCTGGATCTCGCGCTGAACCGTGCTCCGCGGGGGGCTGGCTGGGGTCTCCCTGCGGGCCTCCTGCTGGGGCAGGGCAGCTGGCTTCTCCTCGCCCTGCACCAGCCCGTTCATGCCCTTCAGCAGGGACATGCTGCGCACCAGCCGGGAGATGTGGCTGCACCAGAAGGGCAGGGGCTGCCCTCTGGGCTGGGCCTCCGAGGAGCCCTCGGGCTCAGCTACCAGGGTGGGGCCCTCCTCGCCCTCCAGCCCCTCTGCCCGGGGCAGGAAGTGGCTGTTGACAGTGATGCTGACCGGGGGCGTGGGCAGCAGGGCCTGCAACTCGGCCGCCAGCCGGCCCAGCTCGCTCTCATACTCCTGGCAGCGGCGCCGCAGCTGCAGATCAGTAATTTGCTTCTCCAGGTAGACCAGGTCATCCTCAGTTAGCAGCTCCCCAAAGGGGCCCAGGATGGCCCGGTGGGTCTGCGAGTACCGCCAGGGCGCCTGCTCCGCAGGGCCCGTGCTCGTGCTGTCGTCCTAAACACAGGGAGGGCAGGTCAGTGGGGCAGTGGCCCACACTCATCGCAGTGGGGAGAGGGCATGTCCCTGCTGGACACAGGCTCCTCGTGGCCGGCCTGGCCCCAGGTGCCCCCGGGGACCCCAGCCCAGCCCCTGGACACCAGCTGGCCCTTGCCTGGACTTAGAGAGTAAACAAGGTGGCTGGCCAGCCCCAGTCCCAAGTCTGAGGCTCAGGGCAGCCACCTTGCCCTGCAGGGGTCCAGTCTTTCCCCTCAGAACAGGCCGGGGCACCTCTGCCCTGCCATTCCATATCTTCCTAATCTCCCCCTCATCTCCTCAATGTTTAATCCAAAGGATCTCTCTCCTCAGAGTCCTCCCAGACCGTCCTACCAAACTCCAGAACGTTCTGTGGTTGGGTGGTAGCCTCAACCACTCTGCTCTGGGTTCTCCCCGAGTTTCACCCTGAAACATGCCCCTGGGCTTGCCCTGGCACCAGGATACAGCCCTGCCCCCCAGTGCTCAGTCTGTGGGGAAGACAGACATGGAGGGAACCTGAGCCCACCATCCCTCATTCATTCCACTCCAGCAGTCTTGCCTCCTCCTGGTCCTCCCTTGGGCCAGCCCTTCATGCCACAGGACCTTAGCACTTGCTGTTCCCTCTGCTTAGAATCACTTGTCCCAAATTCTCACAAGACTCCTCTCTCATTTCGCTCTGGCCCTGCTCAAGGTCACCTCCCCAGAGAGGCTGCCCTGAGCACCATATGGAACAGCACCCGCCCCCGCCCACCCCCACCCCCGCTTTTCACAGCTTTGCATCTCTCCATAGCACCTGGGATCACCTTCCCCGCCCCACACACCCAATGCAGTTGCCCAGTCACCCCGTCTTCCCCGCTGCAATAGAGGCTCCAGGGGGGCAGGGCTTGTCCCCTTCACTGCCGAGAACCGGGCTTGGCACAAGGTAGGCGCAGATTCGAATCATTAGATAAAAGAGCCTGTGAGCGTCACGCCGCTAACGCAGGTGAAGGGGCACTGCTCATAGCCTCTGATCGGGTTCAACCTCATCTTCTGCAGAGGAGGAAGGTGAGGCCACAGAGGGGCACTCAGTACGGTACCTGGGTCTCAGGACTCGAGGCGTGGGCCCAGGTCCCCACCTTCCACGACCACCTGCTGGGACAAAGCCTCCTGCCCCACCTCAGCCCTCTACCCCCGGCCCCACCCTGTCCCACCCCGCCCCAGTCCCTCACCATCCCGCCCTCCACGCCCCGCCCCTGTCCTGCCCCACCCAACCCTCCACTCCGGGCCCCCGCACTCCACGCCCTGCCCCGCCCCGCCGGGCCCCACCTGGGCCTCTGGCTCCGGGTCTGCGCCCAGACGCGCCTGCAGCTTGCGTACCATCACCTGCCGCTTCCACTCAGGGATGGGCCGGCCACGCTCGTCCCGCGTGGGTACCAGCCCGTCGAGGTCGCCGGAGGGCAGCCCATCCAGCTGCAGCGCGGCCAGGCCGTCCGGGGCATCCCCCGCCGCTGGCTCCGCCCCCTGTGCGACGCGGGCTGGTCACTCAGGGCCCCGAGGGCACCCGGGCCCAGGAGCAGAAGGAAGGGCCTCTCGGCGCGAGCATGGCCCAAGAAAGAGGGGTGGTGGGGGCCGGCCAGGGAGGGCAGGGGAAATCACGACAGCACCCCGTAGCCTCTGAGGGCAGGGGCCTGAGATGTCCCCTGTGGGACCCAGGCGTGTGTGGTGGGGCGTCGCTGGCTGAGAGAGGCAACCAGAGATTCCTCCCTCTTCTGTATATGGCCGAGAAGAGTATGCCATGTGGGTGGGCAAATTCCTTTGGGGAACAGTTGCATAGACAAAGTCTGGTGGCCAATTCTGGACTGTAGGACTTGTCAGAGCCTTAATGTGCTGTGTGCACTGTAACACTCCAAGAGGGGTGGCACTGTGCAGCATTTCCCAAACTTGCACAGAACATAGGGACTGCGACTTCCCAGGACGCATTCAAGGAAAGGATGGGCTGGATTGATTTATAAGGGTCTCGTGCCCAGAAAGAGGAGCAGGCCTCCTCCAGTGGGTCCTGGGCTGGCTTGGAGCCCCCAAGGAGGAGCCCCCAAGGAGGAGAGCACTGCGTTCTGCCCACCCTTCCCATGGACGACTGCTCCTCTATACTGAGATGGCAGCGCCTGAAGGGGGCAAGGGGCATCCCTGGGTTTAGAGGTCAGGATGAGGAGCTTGGGCCACTGGGACTCCCCGGGATCAGAGGAGGGTCCCACGTCTTCTATGATGAGGTGACAAGCTGCTTGTGGCCCTGAAATTCCCGTCTCCTCAGAACCCAGGGATGTCCTCCAGAGCCAGCCAATCACCCCAGGCGCCGGCCTGATGTCCACCCGCAGGCAGTGACCTGGCCTGGGCCCACATAGGACAGCACGGTGAGAGGCTAGCTGGGCTTTGAGGGTTGGCTGGGGGCGTTGGGAGACAGGGACTGGAGGTGGGGGCGCACCGTGGGGATGGCCATGGCACTGGCGGCGACCCTCGGGGGGGCTGCGCAGGTCGTCTGCTCCCTCGGAAGAAGCTGGTCCGGCCAGGCCGGGCTGAGGGGCGCTGCTGCTGGGCGGGGGGGCTGGAGTCAGAGTGGCTTCCAGAGAGGGCCGGGGATGAGGAGTAGAAGACCCTGGACCTGGGGCAGAACCAGCCCCCCGCAAAGTGCCATAGGGCCAGGCAAACTCATTCATGGCTGGGGCCCACCCCAAGCCTGGCGGGTTGCACAGCTTGCATTTTACTCCGCTCATCCCATCCCAGGGCACGTCCCCTGCCCCCTCCCCACCCCCTTCTATGGCCTGGAAGGAGCTAGAAGGGCATAAGTTTTGGTGCTCTGAGGACATAATGCAGCCCCATCAGACCGCAAACCCTGTCCTCTTACCGCCCCTCCCCCCACTACAAACACACACCTAGGGCCACACTCCGAGTGAGAAACATCCTGCATCACACGCACACACACGCACACGCACACCCGCTTGGACGTGTGACTGTATAGCTACAACCCATTCCGTTCCATTCTCACTACATATGGGGCCTGCTGTCATGTTTCGTGCTGTTCCACTTCATTTTGATACGTGCTGGTCACAATCCCCTAATGGGTGGTGACCTGCAGTGTGAGGACGGTTCCCCTGTCCCCTGCTGGCCCACGGATGCTTGGCCTGCTGGAGTCTCAGACAACAGGGGCAGATCCGAAAGGGGCCTGGGCCCCAGTGACCCAACCTTTGATTTACCTCTGGACAAGCTGAGGCCCAGAGAGGGGATGAGGCTGCCCAAGATCACACTGGCAGGAGAGCCAGGCCCTGGGGCTCAGAGCTCACAGAGGGACCCCAGAGGGCTGGGCAGGAGGCTGTTGAATTGTGATCATAATAAGGGCCCATTATGGAAAATGGTGATTCTCACTTTAAAGAAGGAACAGAGACAACAGAGGAGACCTGGAAGGAGTTGGGGGTTGGGCGATGGGAGGGGTGACCCCAACCCTGTCCTGAGAGTCCTGCGTGTCAGCTGCCTGGAGTCAGCTACTCCCCTACCCGCCCCCTCGAAGGACCTCAGAGGGGAGGCCAGCAGCGCCCTCTCCTGGCACCCGTGGCCCAGGCCAGCCCTCCCTGGGGACGTGTACTCACAGGTGGGGCTCCTGAGACCTGAGCCCCCTCTTCTTCCATCCTCCAGGGAGTGCCTCGCGGCTGACAGTGGAGGAGGGGGGAACGGTGGTGGCGGGGGCGTCATCAGGAGTGGCACCTGTGGGTGGACAGGCCTGGTCAGCGGGAACCAGGTGGGCCTCGACTTGGGCTGCCAGCTCTCCCAGGTGGGGCTGGGGGCATCCAGCGGGCTGCCCTGACCCCATCTCCCCGGGGGGCTGTGCAGCTTGGAACAGGGCTGGAGGGGGTTAAGTGTGCAGGAGAGAGGGGCAGTGCCCCTCGAGTACTGTCCCCCTGTGTCTCTCCACCCCCTCCACGTTGGGTGACAGGCTCCCCAAACACCCCCATGCATTTGTCTGAGTGTCGTCACTCACTGTGCCCCCATGCCGCCACCACCACCACCACCAGGTGAATCCCCATCTCAAGGCCCCTCAAGGCTCACGGGCTCCCTCTGGAGGCAGCTTAACTCAGCAGCTCCAGGCCCTGTGTCAGGGCCTGGTGTCCGGCTTGTGCTCACCTCTCTTTGGCCTTACAAGGGATGCATGCACACATGCACACGTATGCACAGGCATCCATATACACGCACGCACACACACACACACTCCCTGACTATCCCTGACTTCCGTGCTGAGACGAACCACCTGGAACCGCCCCCCCTCTCTGAGGGGAGAGCAGGTGCCCGGCCCCTGGGCACAGGGGAAGACCACAACGAACTTGGAACTCTTCTCAGCCCTGTAAGCAGGAGCTGTCCCAACCTTTAGAGTGGTGGTGCTGTGCCCAGGACCCATGATGGAGTGTCCAGGCTGCCTGGAAACAGAGACCACCAAAATCAGCCCCAGGGAGCCTGGGGTTGGGAAATCCATGCCCGGGGCTGCAGGGGCACCCACGCCTCACCTCCACACCCTGCTCCACGTCTGGGGCAAGGCACAGACCTGGCCGTGGCTACCTCTCCTGCCCCCAAGCGCTGACAGGTCTGCTGCTGGTAAGAGCCCTTGACCTGGAGTGCCCCCCAGCTCAGCCCCGCGAGGCCTCAGTTGTTGCATCAGACCGACGGGAGCTAAGGCTCCTGGGCCGGCCGGGCAGGAGGCACGAGGCGTGCCGGCTGCCCTGACACTGCAGGACCGTGCTCACCTCCCCACCTCTGCGTGTCCCTCTTTAGGCGGCAGAGAAATTCTCCAGGAGGACACCCAAGCTGTCCTCCAGCCAGGCTTGACACCTTTTGGTTTAAAGCTGAAAGTCGAAGGCTGGCTGACCCGGTTTCTTGGATGGCAGGCACCTGGGCTCTTGGCTGCACTGTCACCTTGATGCCCAACTGGCACCCGGCTGCCCCAGCTTGTGTCTCCAGCTAGTAGGGCTGCACTCTGCGTTCCCTCTGAGCACCCCACCCTGGCCATCAGACTGAAGCTCCTCGCCTCCCTCCCTCCCAGCAGTGGGCAGTGGAGGCGGGACACAGTCTCAGGGCCCCCAGTTGGCACCGGAGAGAGCCCTGAGAGGGACAGAGGACCTGGTTCAAACCAGCCGCATGCAGGATGTGTGGCCTGGGGCTGGGGCTGGGGCTGGGGCTGGGGCCGGTGTCAGGGGCGTGTAGCCTGTGCTGCAGCTCAGTTGAATGCTCTGCTGTCTCTTGAAATGCTGAATCGTTTTTGAACAAGAGGCCAGCATTTTCATTTTGCACAGGGCCCTGCACGTGAAGTAGCCGGTCCTGCTGCGGCAACCCCCCACCGGCCCCTCGGAGCATCCCCTTGCTCATTGGTAAGGTGGGCCCAGTCCCGCCTCCCAGCAAGGAGGGCAGGCCTTAAGTGGCTCTCCCAGCCTGGGGGTGCACTCAGGAGAACCCTGGCTCTGCACCCACCGTCTCCAGCCCCTCAGTCACACTCCGGTCCAGGACCCTCAGTCCACCGTGGCCACTAGGAAGGAACACAGCCTGCGACCCCGTCTGCCCGGCCACCACGCACCTCACACGTCACTCCTTCCGGGAATCCGTGCCGAGAGCCCAGGAGCCCGGGCACACGGCGGGATGGGGATGATCCACCGGCCCCCTGCCTGGGAGGACCCTCGGAAGCAGGGGCCGGGCTGTGAGCACAGGGAGATGCGGCTGTCCTGGGCTGTCAGGGGTGTCGCAGCTGCCGCCCCTGGGAGCAGGAGGTGCCGCATTAATATTTGAAGGCCGAGGTGTCAGGTGGCCAGGCAGGCTTGGGCTGGGTGTGGGATCCCTTACCATGGTGCCTTAACTCCACAGCACAAGGGCCAGCGGGGAGACCCTCCGGGTAGGTGTGGGGAAACCTGAGACCCCTGGGTCACGTCAGAGGGAGAGACTACCCAGAGGAATCCCCTAGTAGTGTCTCCACCCCTAGTACAGCCACCAGGGCACAGATGGGGAAACTGAGGCTCAGAGAAGGCAAGGGGCTTTCTCAAGGCCCCACAGCTGGGACGTGGCAGAGCTGGGATCAGAATCTTAGTTGACACTCCAGTCCTGACTCCTGCCAGGGCCAGGAGCTCCTGGAATCATTGCTGCTTTGGTCCAGGGGCACCAGCAGTGGAGGCAGAAGCAGGCAGGTGGAGCTCTGGGGGCAGGGGAGGCCCGAGCACCAGTTGGGTCTCTCACACTCCTACCAAGGATGCAAAACCCTGGCCATTGCTCGGGGCTGTGTTTGCAGGGAGGGACCCAGAGGAACAAGCAAGCTGCTTACTGCTCACTATAAAATGGGGGTTCCCCAGGCTCAGTGGTCCTCAGCTGTGACACAAACCTGCTGTGTGCACAGCAGCCATCTGGGCCCATGTCATGCCACCCTGAGACTTGGGGGAGCAAGGGGACCTGACAAAACATGATGCTTGCTCGCTGCCATGTGTCTCAGAGTCTCGTGTCTTCTCCCAGCGTCCACGACACAGGCACAGGCTGGCTTAGGAGCTTTAAGCAGGGTCGAGTCAGCCCCAGACCCCACGGCACGGCTGCAGAAGCTGGCTCTGACAGTCTGACGGACAGAAGAGGGCTGGGCCCTGGGTGGGCCCTTGCCACAGGGCCACCCCAATATCCCCGGCCCCTGCCTAGCCAGGACAGGGCTATGAGCCTGGCCATGTCTCCCCTGCAACCTGTCTGTGCCTGGGAGCCCTCAGCCCCTCCCCGCAGTTGAATCTGCTCTCAGGGGTGAGGGGCAAGAACTGCCCCTCTGCAGGCAGAGTGCGGGGCTTGGCTGGGGTGGCAGTGGCCCCCTCATGCAAGGGAAGACGGAAGAGGCAAGAAGTTGTTCTGGGGCCCAGGAGAATGGACTTTGGCCCCAGCGCAGCCCCTGCAGCCTGGGGGACCTCAGGCCACCCTCCTGGTCCCTGGGGACGAATCCTGCTTCACCTCTTGCCAAGGAAAAGCCCTGGGGAGTCTCTCCCTGGGCCTCAGTTTCCTTGCCAGTAGGTCAGGAAGAACTCTGCAGTTGTCGGGAAGATGGGAATTATGGAGACCGCCTGGCAAGTGGTGGGACCCCGACCTCATCGCTGCTGTTACCACAGTGTCACCACGTTCTCTGATTTTAACTGGGACAGGACAGTCCCACAGCACAGGGGTCTGCTGTGATAGGAGTGTCCACGACCCTGAGTCCCACATAAGGCTCTGGACACTAACTAAGTCTACAAGGACCCACAGGAGCTGCAGATGTTGGGTCCCAACCTTTGGGGTCCTGACAGTTGGTCACATGCTGCCCCCGAATTGGGCAGTTGCCCCGAGGTTGGCACCCTTCCCGTGGCCTGCTGTCTCCTTTCCTGCGTTTTTGGTGAGATTTGAGCAGCACCAGCCTGCCATGCATTATACATTGTGGACAGCTGTGGCCAGCCGGGTTACAGGCCTGTAATGCCACAGGGGCCGAGAAAATCATGACCCACAGATGGGCGCCGGACACCAGTCACCATGGCTGAGATTCTGTTATTGGCTGCACAGCCAGGCCCCGCCCCTCCCTGGAGGGGGGAGGCTGCCCAGGGAAGTCCCTTGCTCTCTCTGGGCCTCAGTTTCCCCATCTGTAAAATGCAGTGGTCCTGGAGCCCTTCTGGACCTAGGGGCCGGGAATTAGCACTTGCTGGGGGCTCCATGTGCATCTCTACCTTCCAACTAGGCTCTTCAGTCCCATTTTACAGATGAGAAAATGGAGGCTTGGAGATGCTCAGAAGTTGCCCAGCCAGGAAGACCCACTCCAACCCTGGTGGGAGTGAGCACAGGGGTGGGGGCAAGCAGGACAGCCCCAGATGCCATGGGAGTCACCAAGGGGCTTGCCTCCCCGAGCATGGAGGGCCACACTCACCATCCTGGGCTGCTGTCCCTAACTGTTGCCCCCTGGCCAGGATCTCACTGAAACCTGGCCCTACAGCCAGGAGCCCAGCTGCCCCGCCCACTGCCTGGGGGTCGGGGTGCAGGGGGCCCTGCTAGTCACTGCCCCACCCGTCAGAGAGGCCCAGCCCCTCTCTGGGCAGTGGCTAAGCGCAGGTCCTGCGGACCCACCTACGAAGGGGGTACCTCCCCTGGGGCAGGTCTCGCCACTGCCAGTCCAGCTTATTCCCCAGGCTGCCTCTCTTGGGACCTATGACTCCCTGGGGACAGATGCAGGCTGTCCTGTCGTGGGGATAATGATGGCTTTCACCACCTCCTCTGAGTCTGACATGGAAAGGGGCCAGTGCAGGCGACCTCTGCATATTGTGTTTCCATCAATATTGCATCAGGCACACAGCTTCCCCTGGCCTGGCGGCCCACAGCTGACGGCCTACCCTCCCGCGGAGCCGAGACTGAAGGGGTACCACTCCAGCCAGGGGTGAGAGATGGCACCACGTGCTGCCCTGGGCGCTCACTGAGGGAGAAGAGACAGATGCTTGAGTCCTGAAGCTCGCTGCAGACGCACTAATGAGCCTCGAGAGCCGGGGGTTCAGATCTGCATGTGCCCGCCCTCGGGCCCCAGATGCAGACTATGGGGGACTGTGGATCGGAAGGAGGTGGATAAGCCCACCCACCCTCCTCCACCACAGGTGGGGCAAGTGGACAGGCTGAGCCCTGCTGGCCCGCAGGTCGGGGTGGGGGGGAGGATACCCAGACAGCCCAGACGGCTTGGGGAATCCTGAGTGAAGGGGACGCTGCCTCAAATCCTGTGGTGACACCAAGGGGACAGCCAGGACCAGAAGAAACCCCCGGAAGCCTGAGATGGGCCACATCCCCACAGCTCTGGGGGTGTCGGGAGAGCACCCAGAGCCCCCATCCCGGCAAGAGAGCTGAGTGGAGGGGCCAGGAGGGGCTGGCAGATGTGCCAGGGTCTGGGGAAGGAGGGCCGGGGACAGAGACTCTGCTTGGACGGAAGGCCCAGACCACGGGCACTGCAGCGTGGCTGGGCTGGGGATAGGTCAGGGACCCCAGCCTGAGGCCAGGCAGGATCTGCTCCCTGGCAGCAGAGCAGCTGCCTGCCCCACCTCGTAATTTCAGCTGCCAGGCCTACCCCAGTGACCACACAGGGGCCCGGGAGGGACCCAGGTGGCCGGGGCATTCCTAGCCTGTGGACTGGGAAGTCCCATCCACTAAACCAGGAATCCGCTGAGTTCCAGCAACTTCTCAAACCCAAGCCAGAAAGACAACCTCTTATCAAACAATACCCAATCGAACATTTAGTAAATGGGTAATTTAGTAAATAAGTTACTTCAAGCGGTAACTGTAGTTCCCGTTTCTGAAATATCAACACCAGGACAAACCAGGGCAGTGACGCGTGCCCAGAGCACCCGAGCTGTCCCGAACCGCGGCAGGCCTGGGGGGTTTTCAGGAGGCGGGGACAAGAGGCTCTTGGCGGTGGCCGGGTGAGGACCGTCCCGCGGGCCCCAGTGACAAGGACGACTGCGGCTCTACTTCAGTTGGTCCTGGACGCTCTGGGGACGCCCCCGAGGGAAGAGGAGGTGAGACCTGGTGTGGGGGGCACGTCACCTCTCTGGGCCTCGGTGCTATCACCTGAAATGGGCAGGCGACCCCAGGGAACCTTCTGAAGGGGCGGCCACTAAAGAAAACTGGCAAAAACTGTGGCAGGTTGGACTAACTTGTCATAGTAACTGCCTATGGGGGTTCCGGAGGGTTCGCCTCTCCAGAATGGGGGAGGGATGGGTGGGAGGGCACGGGGGAGCCTGGCTCCACGCTGACCAACTACTGACTTCACCCACCTGCCCATCCATCCATCCGCCCACTTGTCTGTCTGTCCGTCCACCCTCATCTGTCCATTTGCTCCTCTGTTCATTCAACAACCACTTGTTGTGGCCTGTCATGTGCTGGGGGCTGGGGCCAGCAGGACAGATGAGGTCCCTGTGCTTACATGGCTCAGAGTGGTGTGCGGTCATGTGAGGTCACTCGCCAAGACCAGAGAGCACGACTGGAACCTGCTGCCTTCTGGCCTGCACAGGGCTGGCCTGGCCTCATCAGGGTCACCTCACCGAGGACCCATGGCCCTGCTCCCACCCCCAGGGCATCCTCAGTCTGACATAACGTCACCAACAGGAGGCCTGGCCAATGTTCAGCCACAAGCCCAGGCCTGGTCCCAGCTATAGCCCCAGGTCTATCATGGCCCCTGTCACAGCCGGGGCCCCTGTCACGGCCCCTGTCACAGTCTGGCCTCAGCGCCTGGCCAGCTGGCTTGTGGTGCTGCCTCAGTTCTGGCCCAGGCCCCTTTCTCCTGCAGATGACATGGTGTATGTACACAATGAGCTTTCCAGCTACCTGGGGCCTGTCACCTCTGCCCCCAGGATGGATGGGGACTGCTCACCGGCCGGGCCGTCTCCCGCAGGTACTGGGCGCAGTCCTGGTGTCCGTGGTACTCTGCCAGGTCTGCCGCCGTGTAACCGTCTTCATCCCGCAGGGAGGGGTCCACGTGGTGGGAGACCAGGGTCTGGCAGCACTGCAGGGAGGGGGCGCATGTGTGACCCGCTGCGGCACACGCCGGAGCCCCTGGCTTTCACCCAGCGCTGATGGAGGGCAGGCACCGTGTGAGCAGCTCACCAGCCCCATCTCCCAGGTGGGAAACTGAGGCTGCTGACAGCTGAGGAGCCTGCCCAAGGCCCCGTCGGCATTTGCTGCAGGGGAGGACTTGAATCCCGAGCCTCACCGGCAGCCGCCCGGTCCTGGCAGCAACGGCACCAAGCCCCGCAGGCACCAGCACATCCTTGTCCCAGGTGGGAACCGAGGCGCCCCAAGGACAACATAAAAAATAGACTAAACGTAAAAGTCACCTTCCTAGAGCATGAGAGAGGTAACAAGGAAAGTGAGGAATTACCCAGCCAAGCTCAGGAGACAAGGAAAATCCGGGGGGATAAGCCCACTACCCAGAATGGCTTTTGCCCTAAGAGCATGTTGATGCAGGAGACACGGTTTTAACCTGAGTGGTTCTTCCACAGCCTCACGGGACTAGGGAGACCAGGAAAAGCTCAGGGTCCTCAAAGGGGGGGCTCTGAGTCACCACCTCCCACTGTGGGCTGAGGGCTCCACCCTCAGAGAAAAGGTAAACCAGAAGCCAGCCAGCCCTCTGCTTCTTGCCGCACAGGTGGTCCAAGGAACCTCGAGCCTGGAATGTGGACTAAGACGCTCCTGGGCTGGCAATTCCCACGTGTGCCTGACAGGCAGAGGCCAACAAGATGTCATCCAAGGCCTCAAGTGACTCCTGCAAATCATTTTTCAAATATAATGTCCAGCATACAGTCAAACAAAACCAGAAGTAAGAGCCTGAAGACACAACACACAAGGAAATAGACCCACAAAGACCCAAGAATTCACAGACTGTAACACAACTGTACTTACTACTTTCAAAGAAATAAAAACCAAGCTTGAAAATTTAGGATGGAATTATAAACCATAAAAAGTGACACAGGGGGCAGGCCCAGTGGTGCAGCGGTTAAGTCTGCGTGTTCTGCTTCAGTGGCCTGGGGTTCGCAGGTTCGGATCCCAGGCGTGCACTGACACACCACTTGTCAAGCCATGCTGTGGCGGCATCCCATATAAAGGAGAGGAAGATGGGCATAGATGTTAGCCCAGGGCCAATCTTCCTCAGCAAAAAAAAAAAAAAAAAAGAGGAGGATTGGCATCGGATGTTAGCTCAAGGCTGATCTTCCTCACACACAAAAAAAGTGACACAGTAGCTTTGAAAAATGACTAATTAGAAGGTCAAGACATAAACATAATAACCAAGTTAAAAATTGAAGCTGAAGGCAGCCCGGGGGCGTAGCGGTTAAGTTTACACACTCTGCTTCAGCAGCCTGGGGTTCACAGGTTCAGATCCCAGGCGTGGACCTACACACCACTTATCAAGCCACGCTGGGGCAGCGTCCCACATACAAAACAGAGGAAGACTGGCACAGATATTAGCTCAGGGACAACCTTCCTCACCCAAAAAAAAAAAAAAAAAATTGAGGCTGAAGAATTAGTAAACAAAATTGGTCAGAAGCAGCAATCCAGAATACAGCACAGAGAGACAAAAGATGAAAACAGAAAACGGACTTGACACAGTCGGTCTAAAATGCATGCAATATTAATCCCAGAAAGGGAGGAGAACAGAATGGACACAGAGGTCACATCTGAAGGGATAATGGCTGAGAATCTTACAGAACTGATGGAAACACCAAAGCACAAATTCAAGATGCTAATAACAGGGGAAAATGAAATGGATGTGAGTCTATGGGAACCTGGTACTAGCATCTCAATTTTTCTACAAATCTAAAATGATTCTAAACTATTCTAAGATAATTTATTTTAAAATGGGGAGGGTCAAGCATTATCCTATATTTCCTGGATGAAGTATAATTCTAGAACTGTTAACGGATTAAGAGACTCAACAGACAAATCAATACTGTGTGGACCTTGTCTAGGTCCCCATTGTATCAGAGTCAGGGAGATGGATGTGAGATGGGTATTAGACGGACTGGACAGGAGATGATATTAAGAAATTATTGCGAATTATTTTTTGGTGTGATAATGGTTTCAGGTTGTGATAAAAAACAAAGGGAGTCCTCACCTCTTGGAGATGTCCGCTAAAGTATTTATGGATAAAATAATGTGACAGCCCCGATTTGCTCTTAAATAATACAGCAGGGCAGGCAGGAGGGAGTGGCTGAGGAGAAAGGGAATGAGCTGAGCCAGGAGCTGATCCTCACACACTTTTGCGAGTTTAGAATTTCCATAATAAAAAGTTTGAAAAGGAAAGCAGTTCTCAGCTTTGAGGCTTCAGTTATTTTCATATTAAGAGAGAGTGAGGAGCCAGTGGACTCTTGGCTTAGCTGTTCAACTTCTTGGGCTCCTGTAGAGTATTTCATTTGAAAAAAGATTATGCTGGTTAAAAAAAAAAAAAAGTTTGTAAACCACTGCTTGAGGCCCTCCTCCCGATTTGGAAGAACCACACTGCACTGGCTCCGCTCAAGCCTCTTCCGGCCACCACCTGCCTGTAGAGGACACGCCCTCCCTCGCCTCCCACCCAGAGGCACCTCCCGATCCTGCCACCTCCTCCTCAGATTCTTTCTTCTCAATGGAGCAGGAGGAAAAGGATGACTGGGGGTTATTTGCAGGCTTTTCCTCTTCTCTCAAGCCTCCTGAGGACTCACCCAGCCAGAGATTCACCCCACCCCCCACCCTGTGTTGCCCTCCCGTCTAGGTAGGGGATGGAAACTGGGGAGACACGATGGGGGAGTGAGTCCTGCAGGGCTGAGGAGGGGGAGCTGGGGTGGAGGGTGGGGAGGAGTGAGGGGCTCAGGACTCGAGAGGGTGGAGAGTCAGAGAAAGACAATGCTGTGAGCTGGGACAGTGTCTCCTCTGTGTTGTTCAGAAGGACCGAGGGCCTTCTGATGACTCTTGCTGTTGCAGAGTCTTGACACGGCTGAGACTGCGCCACCTGGGCCCCAGGGATACCTTGGGTTCCAGCCGGGAACTGTGTCCAGAATTGTAGACTCAAAATGGGACACTCAGGTGTATCTCATTAAAAGCCTCCCTCTCGACTAGCCTCACCTGGACCCGGAGCACGTTTCTCACGGCTCCAGATGGCAGCAGGCCGAGCCCTGGGCTGTGGGTGTGACACGAGAAAGCCCAGGAGACATCCGTGGGATGAGCCGACCCCTCTGGAGACTGTGCCGTGTGGGACTGGGTGGGGCAGGGGGAGGAGGAAACCAGGCATTGCCCTCAGATATGGCCTTGACTTTACGTGAGGTCCATGTGCAGGGGCCCCTGTGCAGGGGCGCCAACGCAGGGGCTGCCGAGGGCTGGGCCCATTCTCGGTGTTGGGCCTTAAATATGTGAACACCACCCCTGCCTACTCTGCATTTCTGGATGTTGTTTCCTCGGGACTAGGCCACGTGAGCCCCCAAGGTTTGTTTGGATGAGAGCAAAGGGGCTAACTTCACGCCCCTGGCCCGGCTCTGCTCCTATGGTGGGGCTCACAGCAGGGGTCAGCAGCCAAGGGCTATCCCGGGGGGACCCTCAGGAAGGCCAAGCCCTGAGAAGGCACTCGGGGAGTCTTTGTGCAAAGGGAGGGGTACACACAGAGGGGAGAGCATGGATTTTTTTCCCAGATAGATCAGAGTCTGGATTCCAGGCAAGTGACTGCCCCTCTGAGCCTCAGTTTACCCATCTGTAAAAGGGGAATAACGTCTATCCTACAGGGTTGTTGTGAGGGTTAAATGAGTTCTTTAGGAAGTGCCTGGGCATAGTAAGCATGCCAGGACTGCTAGTTCTGGAGGCTCATCGGCCCCACAGGCTCCCACCGCGCAGCCTCCCACCACAACTGCCTCACCTCCATTTGCCCATTCTCCGCTGCATCATGGAGGGGGGTCCCACCCCAGGAGTCTCTCATGATGGGAGCACCCATCAGCAGGAGCCGGTCTAGAATGGGCGTGTGGCCACCTCGAGCTGCAAAGTGGAGGGCTGTGGCCCCCTCGTTATCCCGCGCTGTCAAGCCGATGTCCGTGAAGGTGACCTGGGAAGGGGTGGGGACATGGTAATTGAGGCTGGACAGGGGTGACGGCTCCTAGGGAGAGGGATGGCTGCCATGAGGAGGACGTGGAGGAAGAAAGCCCAGAGCAGAACTGGGGGGTGACCTTCAGGGGCAGGAGCACCACTCCCCAAGAAGCCCTGGGGACAGAGCTGGGTCCTCACAGGTGCCCCATCACCCTAGAGTGGCATGGGGGGAAGTGAGCTCAGTGGTTTTATTGGGAGGCTCCACTGTCCCCAAATCTGCCCCAGCCCACCCCAAATCTTAACCCGAACATCCCCAGGGGCTGGCTTCACACCCCAAGTGAAAAAACGCCTCGCTGGCACCAGGAGACAGTAATGGATGTTTGCTGATGGAGGAAGGGAGGGATCGAGCAGGGAAAGGGCATCCTCTGGCACCAGGCCCATTTGCGCCCTGAACACGGCTACAGCGCAAAGACATGTGGATTCTGGGAAGTGGGTCCTGCATGTGTCTCCCCGGAGCCTGGTCATCCTGTGGTTTGGGCCCCGCCCTGCTGGCAACCACATGAGTGACTTCCAGCGGGCCCCGCCTCTCTGGCCCCCTGCTGCCCCTCTGGGAGGGCACCAGTGGGCTCTAGTCCACAGCATCCAGCTGGGCCTTGGGGGACTGCTGGGGGCCAACACTGTGAGTTGCCCACCCCCTTCTCCTACGGGCGCACACTGGACTGCGTGCATCTGAGACAGCCACGTCACCCCGTCTGCCAATGAGACCTGAGGGCCTCTTCTAGGAAAACTCTGCCTTCCTGACAGAAGGGGCTGGTGGATGTGGTGTCACCCCCTTTTCTCCCTCTTCCTGCCCTAATGTGGCCAACTTTCACCATGAGGGAAAGGCCAGGAGAGCAGCAGAGATGTGGCCCAGTGGAGATGGGGTTGGGCGGCTGACCCAAGTTCAACGGCCTCCTGCTGCTTTCCATGTGGGAGGGACGGCCTTCAGGCTGCTCAGTCCACTCGTCACCTGCAGCCAAAAGCAGAGCTGGCTGATCCAGTATTCAATCGTGTTTGTCAGGAGGACAGTGAGCCTGGAACAGAGGCCTCCCCATCGGCCAGCTCCCTAAGGGAGAGGGAGCCCTGGAGCGGGTGAGCCCGGCTGGAGGCTGCCCCTTCCCGCTCAGCCCCTCCCACAGGGAGGAGGGGGGCAGGGAATCACATCTAGAAAGGCCTTTCTGGCCCTGGGAGCTGGCCGGCTGCTCCTTCCCCAGGATGAGCTCATGGGGCTCCACGGGGCCCGCTGGATACAGGGCCCTCCTACCCACCCTCCCGGCCCCTCCCGGTCACCCCGCACTGCTCTGAGCTGCTGCCCCTCCCCCTGCACAGCCCACTGGCTCCCTTCCATCTGCCGAGCACCTGATTGTGCGCGGCCCTGTGGCCAGAGATGGCCAGGACTCAGGCTCACCCAGGAACCTGGAGTCCAGGTGTGGGGACAGACACATTTCTGGGAGGCCACGATCTGAAGTGTAAGGGGTCAGAACTACAGGCGCGGGGACAACTCCTCCCAGTGGCCAGGGTGGGGCCGATGTCTGGAGAGTCAGTACAGCAGGGGCCCCAGAGCTTCCTCCTGGGAGAGGACCTGGCTCCAGCGGCAGGAGCTGCGGAAAGGCAGCCCGGGGGGCATGCAGCCTGCGCAAAGGTGCGGCGCTGGTGGTGCCTCAGGGCCAGTGGAGGGAGGCTGGAGGCAAACGCTGGTGACCTCTGAGGCCAAGGTGAGCGGCTGGACTTCATCCTGAGGCCAGGGGAAATCCTCTGCTCCTTTCTTCACTCATTTGCTCACTAAACATCTCTGGAGCCCTGACATGGGGAAGGCAGCAGATGACAGTCCCTGCCTCCCGAAGCTCCTGGAACTTACACCCAGACATCCACCAAGATACTGAAGTCACATTTACAGTTTGTCAGGTGTTGGTGCTGTGGGGGAGAGACAGCAGGAGAGCAGGACAGAGGGCTGGGCGGGGTGGCTGCCATCCTAAAGGGGTGGGCAGGGAAGGCAGTGGGGGGGCCACGCACACCTGGGACCTGCCGCCTAGCAGAGGGTGCAGTGCATGCAAAGGCACCGGGAGGAGAGGAGTGAGGCCAGCCTGCTGAGGGGCTGGATAAGGAGGCCCCACGGGAAGTGGTGGCGTTCTAAGCGAGGAAGGGCTCTCCCTTCTCCACCAGCAGCCAGTGTGACATTCAAGATGCCCGTCAGACCTGCCGCTCCTCGCTCACAGCCTTCAGTGGCTCCCCAGGGCCCTCAGGAAAGAGCCCTCGTCCTCCTGGGGCCTCCGTCTGCCTTTCCCCCCTCACCCTGCCCCAGGGGCCAGGGTATCCCCAACTTTCAACCAGCTGTGCCCTCCCCCAGGAATTTAATGTGGAACCCACCCTTTGCCCAGCCACCTCCGGTCCACCCTCAGTTCTGCCCCGAAACGTCTGTCACCTCCTCAGGTGACACTCCACTACTCTGGGCGGGGTGGCTGCCATCCTAAAGGGGTGGGCAGGGAAGGCAGTGGGGGGGGCCACTCACCCTGAGAGCACCCAGGAGACCCACCAGGACTGCCGGGAGAGGGCTCAGGGGAGGCAGTGCACGTCCAGCCCATGGCCACGGCTGGTTAAAGCTATGAGAGCCAGGCTGGAACCTGGATCCCAGCCTGGGTCGGGCACACAAGGGTGCTTGGAGCAATGGGGGGCCACCCCTCCACTACTCTGAGACCCCATCAGCTCTCTGTAATGGACTCAGAGCTCCCGGAGACCCCAGCTGGTCTGGTTTTCTGTGGTGCAGGCAGGAAGTCCGTGTCCCATCCTGGAAGAAGGCATCCCCCCAACCTGGGCCACTCTGTGTCCTGGGGTGTCAGGGCTTCCTTCTGGAAAGAGGCCTGAATGACCCCTCTATGGGTCCAGAAGGGAAGAGGGGTGGGCTCTAAGGGAGCAGGGTCTGTACAAGTGGCCAAAGGGGCCAGGCACTGCTGGTGCCGAGCGCAGGTGACAGAGCACAAGTCACAGAGCATCAGGGTGCCACTCACCCTGAGAGCACCCAGGAGACCCACCAGGACTGCTGGGAGAGGGCTCAGGGGAGGCAGTGCACGTCCAGCCCATGGCCACAGCTGGTTAAAGCTATGAGAGCCAGGCTGGAACCTGGATCCCAGCCTGGGTCGGGCACACAAGGGTGCTTGGAGCAATGGGGGACACATCCAATCCCCCAGCAACCCTGTGGGTCCCAGTGCTCAGGAGGGCAAACTGAGACCAGGGTCGGGGGGGCAGACCCCACCACAGCCAGGCCTTGTTTGCTCGGAGGCGGCTCTGGGGCTGAGGCAGGAGCAGGTGCCAGCCTTCCTGGACCTCCGCCACCCCCTCCCCCGGTGCCCCCTTACCAGCCAGACGACAAGCGAGTAGTGGCCACGGTCAGCGGCGGCGTGCAGAGCGCTCATGCCGTCGAGGGCTCGCAGGTGCACGTCGGCGCCACAGTCCTTCACCAGGAACTGGGCCAGGTGCAGGTGGCCCTCCTGGCAGGCCAGGTAGAGAGGGAAGGCACCGCTGTGGGTCCTCCGGTTCACGCCGCTGTTGGGGGGCAAGGTTCAGAAGGCGCTTGGCCCAGGGTCGCGGGGTGGGAAGGGGGCTGCTCCAGCCAAGGGCCCAGATCGAGGGGAGGGGTAGTCCTGCACCTGCCGGCATGTTTGCGCCCACACCCTTACCAGCTGAGGGGGCTCCAGCCAGTCACCTCTACGGTTGCACAGGTTGTGCACCCCCAGGGGCACCAGCCAAGGACACCGGCTGCTGGAAACCCGCTCTGTCCACGCCCCATCAAGCTGTGCGCACCACCAGGGCTTGCCGGCAGGGGGCACTTCTTAGGGGTGAGTGGTCCGGTGGGGCCTGCAGTGAACATCCAGAGCCCAGGGCCTGCTCTGTAAAGAGGCCACTGTGAGCAGGACACTAGCCTGTCCATGGGCGACCAGGCCTGGCATCCGAATTCCAGGCCGCAGCGTGGATGGACTGGAGCAGGTCACAGGATTTCCTTCTTCCTGCTCTGCCCCCACATTGCTGCAGGGCCAGCTGAGTACTTGGTCCCCGGTCACCCGCTGTAGAAAGGGCTGGTCCCCTAGCCCAGGTCGACCCCATCCCTTGGTGACACAGAAGTCACCTCTGGCTCCTGTGGTTGGTGCCAGATGAGAAGGTGAGCCTGGGGGCACAGGACCTTCCTGTGTGTGTGCCCGTGTGTGCGAGTACACGCACGTGTATGTGTGTGTTTTAATGTGAACTCTCCCAGTTCTCAAATGGCAGAAACTACTTTAAAGACTGTCAGTCTAAGAGGCACTCTGTGGCTGGTGAGGCTCGGGGCGGCCGGTGTGGATGCTCTGGGGAAGATGTGCAGAAGCGAGTCCTGAAGCGTCGGGATGGTTAGACCCGGCAATAAGCACGCTGTTCCACAGCGGAGCTGTCAGGCCTTGTGGGACACAAACGTGGGGCGGCCGGGACAGCCAGCCACCCGAACAAGAGGCCTTTCAGAGGAGAAGAGGTGTGGTCAGAGGCAGGCGGGGTGGGGGGAGAAAGGCAGCAGGTCAGGTGTGGGGTGGCACCAAGTCCCACTGCCGGCCAGGACGGGAGCCCTGGGAACAGCTGGTGGGGAGGCATGGGCACGGCGCCCCTAGATGGCCCGTCACTGTGCCCACGGTATCCTGTGTGTGGGGCAAGGACCAGAGGAGCACCACGATGGGGAAGGGGGAGGGGAGTCCTGCTGCCCCCACCTCACTGGGCCTGTCCTGTCCCTGCCCCTCCTTCCTCGCCATCCACAGCTCTGGGCGGTGGGCACAGGGCCACCGAGATGACGAGACTGGCCCCCCTGGAGGGGCTCCCAGTCCGGGGAACGGGACAGTGCAGAGGGAGAATTCGGGCCAACCTGATGGGGGCCTCACCCGCCCGAGTCCACTACATAGCCTCTGCCCCCTTCAGGTGACTTGAGGGTGCCTACCTTCCCCCGCTGGAGAAGTTAGGTCCTGAGAAGTCCCCAGATGGGCCGGGAGCCACCTGAGCATCACGGGGAGCTTTCTGCCCAGGCTGTCCTAGCAGCTTCCTGGCTGTTCTCACTGCCCCTCACACAGCTAGACCACTGTACCTGCATCCGCTGTAGGACCTGGCCTGGCACCTGCACTGCCGGCCCTGCAGGTTCAGGGCCCGTCCTGAACCCCCACTCAGAGCTTCATGCCCCGCCCACACTCTGGATCCAGACTGGCCACCCCTCGCGCCCGTGACAGTGTGCCTGCCCCATAAGGCCCACCTCAAAGGCCGCCAGCCTGTCCTCCTCTGCCTGCCTTGGTGTAGCCTCCCCAGAGGCCAGTGCCCCCAGACTGCCACCAGGCGGCGCTCCACCTCCTCACCTGCTGTAGGCGGCCGTCAGGAGCTTCAGGCAGGTCAGGTCCCCGCTGACGGCGGCGTGGTGCAGCGGCAAGGCCCCCTCCAGCGTCTCCAGCGTGGCTGCGTGGCCCTCTCGGAGCAGCCACTCCACCAGCACCGGGTGTCTGAAGCGGGCGGCCAGGTGCAGCGGGGAGACGCCCGAGGCGTCCTGGTCCTACCAAGGCACGGACAGGGTGGTGAGGGGATGGCAGGCCCAGACCCACCCCTGCTGGGCAGCATCAGTGTGGCCAGAGCCAGCTGCCAGGGCCACACTGCCTGGAAGCCCAGCTGCCCCCTCCCTCCTGCCCTCCCTCTGGTTTGCTCTAGCCGTAGGGAGGCGCTCTCTGCCGGACTGAGCGAGGCCACCTGGAGCGAGGCCACCTGGAGCGAGGCTCCAGGTAAGAGGCTGAGCTAGGACTCAAGTCCAGGTCTCCCGAGTCCAAATCCATGACCCTGCCACATCCAGGCCCCCTCTCCCCAGCGCAGTCACGGCCCCTTCTCACTCTCTGCTCAGTCAGAAAGGCTTCCACTTGCCCAACTGTGCCCATGTCGGGCTCGGTGACCTGCTCTGTGTCTGGGGACACTGCCTCTTGGCCCCTGCCCCTACCCGCACTGCGGGCCACGAGCCCTCGCGACCGGGGAGCATTTCCACCACAGGCGTCAGGCAGACCTGGGCATTCTCCTGGGCACAGAAATGGGCACCGCTCCTGCCCTGCTGCCCTCTGGGTCTTTGGAAGAGCAGATGAGCACAGGGGTGTGAGGCCACTGCACACTCAGGCTGTGACCATGAGTCCTCCCTCTCCCGGGACCCAGGAGGTCACCCTGTCACCCACCCAACCCTGTCAGAGCTTGCTCACCATCTCCCCACGGTCCTTCACCCGCACAGAGGGGCACCAGACAGGCAGGAAAAGGGGGAGGGCGGGCCCTGGTAGAAACGCCCCTGACAAGACCACCACTGAGACCTGGAGACCGTACTCTTTACCATCAAGGCTTTCGTCCCACTGCCCACCGTGGCCAGGCCCGTGCTGTTACCCATTGGGGTCCCCAGTCATCCAAGCCCGAATGCCCACCGCATTTCTCTCTGGACCCTTTTCCAGAACCTTTGGGCAACAGGCCCCACGGATCAGGCCTGATGAGAACACCGGCAAGACCTCCACTGGCCAGGCCAGGCGCTCCCTTGGGGGAGGGCGGGGGAGAGAGTGCTGCATGGCTGCTCTGTGCTGGGCGTGGGGAGCACAGGGGTGGGGCGTGGGGCAGAGACAGAACGACTGACTGCGTTGTGGGGTTTGTGTGGTGAGTCCTCGAGAGAAACAGAGCCCAGGGCCACGGTGCATGACCATGGGAGGCCAAGGGCTCTGGACCTTCTGGCTCAAGGCTCACTCCTCCCTCAACCCACATGGACGTGGGCCCGCCGGGCTGTCCCCAGCCCCACTTGGCTGCTGTTCCTGCTGTTCCCGCTCACCTGCAGACCGCAGCCGCCCTCTCGCACCAGCCAGCACAGCTCGGCCAGGCTGCCCGTGGCAGCGGCGTCGTGCACCGGTGTGGCCCCGTTGTGGGCCCGCTGGTTGCCAGGCAGCTTGGCGCGCTGCACCAGGAACTTGACACAGGCCAGGTGGCCAGCCCGGGTGGCGTGGTGCACCAGGCCAGCCCCCAGGGCGTCGGTGATGCCCGGGCCCAGGGCGCCAGCCTCCAGCAGCCGCTGCAGGGTAGCCAGGTCCCCGTCCTTGGCAGCCCCAAGTGCCCGCTGCTCCTCCATCCTCTGGCCCCGGCCACCCGGCGGCTCTCGGTGGCTCACGCACAGGCCGGGGCTTCCTGTTTCAGGCGTGGACGCAGCTCCCGGCTCCGGTTACTGGATAACAGCACACAGGGCAGATGGGAGGCGGCAGGGGGTGGGGGGCCAGGCCTTGGGGACCGGGCCTCGCACCCCTGCCCCAGCCACTCCCGAGGCGCCCAGAGCTGCGGTGGGCAGGGGCCCCAGGGCGCAGGGGAAGGGTCTACACAGGGTCCAGGTCAGGGGGTGGGCGCCAGCCAGCGGACAGTGCCCCGTGGCTGGACCATCCTTGTCCTCCCGTGGAGTGAGGGCCGAGGAAATGCACCGTGAGCAGCTCAGCCTGAGATGGACTTCCTGCATCTAGAGGGTGTTCACAGTTACTAACGTCCTTTCAAGGAAGCAGGAGGCCCCTGAGTGTCTGCTTCCCCCGGTCTGGGCAGCAACCTGAGCAGCCGTGCTGGCCCATGGGGAGGCCACCTGGGTGACTCTTCTCAGGGGAGGGCAGACCCATCCCCAGTGGGGCCCTTCCTGGGGACTCACTACCAGATGTGTTGGAGTTAGACGTTCTGGCTGTTGTTACCACAGGGAGCCGAGGGCCCGCCTGCCCAGGGAAAATCTATGCTGGGTCCGTCCTCAGCTGGCCCAAGACCTTGGAGGCTCCACGAACCCCTGGGAGCAGCGGCTCCCCAGGGCCAGCGAGGGGCGCAGGGCCTTGACAGGACAGGAAGGTCTCCGAGGTGAGAGCGAGGGTCTCGAGGCCCCCGCCTCAGCCCACCCTCCAACCACAGTGACTGAGTCCCTGGAACAGCAGCTAAAGGTCCCAGGTGCATTTGTCAGAGCTGCCAAGCATCTTTTTCCAGACGGTTCTCTTTGTGGGGCTGGACACCCGTAGCCCTTTGCTGGGGAAATCTGGATCACCACAGCCTCTGTCCAGAGGCAGCAGGATGCTGCGTGTCAGGGACCTATTTTCTAGGGGCTCCCAGAGCCACAAGCTGAACTTCTTGAGCGATAAGCATAATGATTCAGTGACAAGTTGAGGTTCCCGCTCTACCCTCTAACGCCACCCCACGGCTGGCTCAGACACACGGGCCCCAAGAGATGCACCCACCAGAAAAACCACAAACATCCAATATGAGCACTGAAATTGTTTATCAGTTCATTGAATTTCTGACGCACGTTTCCTCAATGCCATGGTGTAGTTCTTTGCACCTCAAAACCACACATTAAAAGTGCTGTTCAATTAAAAATCATTCCTATGTAAATATCTCCTAAGACATGACATGTGAGGCCACAAAGCACTTGTGGAGACGAAAGGTCCCTTCTGTGAATGAAATGCAGATGAAAGCTGAGGTGGGGAGGGGCTGATCTCCCACCTCAGGGCCGACCCAGAACCGCACAAGTGCTGGCCGCCCCGAGACTCAGCGGACGTCTGAGCTGAAACCCTGAGTAACAGATCAAAGCGGAAGAGGCCGGAGGGGCCACTGACTGTGGGAGGGGTGGGCACAGTGTCCTCATCAGGGGGACAGGGCCGGGCACGGAAGTGGGGGCCAAGCAGGGAGCAGCCCATTGACGTGACCCCACCCATCTGGAAAGGGCTTAAGCAGGGCCCTGAGGGTGGGGGAGAATGCAGGGTCGACCCACCGCTCTGCAAACACGGATGGGGAGGCCATGATCGCAGCAAAATATCAGGGTTCCTATTTTCATGATAGCAACTGACAATGGATTATAAATACCAGGATTTTATCTTCTGGATAAAAATGCCACCTTCCAGGAAGGGGGCGTTCACAACAGGCTCTCCCCACTTCCCAGAGGGGAGCGTGGACACAGCCGAAGCGTTTCTACTTCGACCCACACCGTTGGGCAGTAGTGACAGTGACAGTCCTACGTGGGTGCTTGTGTCCTGGGCCAAGAAGCCCCCGCGGGGTCTGTGTGCCCAGCACCCACTCTCCACCAACCATGTGCAGGAGAGGGAGCTGGGAGCACACACTGCCCCGTCACCACGCTCAGACACTCAGGACAAATGGAGACTTGGACAAATTAGGAAGAGTCGTCCTGGCACGGCCCTCAGGAGGGCTTCCTACGAGGTGCCCTGGGCTCTAGGCCTGGCCCTCCAGCCGGGCCACGGCCTGCTTCAGGTCCTGCACGACGAGGTCCACCTCGGCCCTGGTGGTGCTGCGGCCCACGCTGAGCCGGAGCGCGTTCCTGGCCACGTCGAAGGGGATGCCGCAGCTCAGCAGCACCGGGGACGGCCTGGGGGGCAAGGAGACCGGGTCAGCTGTCACGGAGGAGCTCTCCTGTGCGCATGGGGCTCGGGGAAGGGACCCTGCCCTTCTGCTTTCGGTCAGCTCCCCAAGTGGGGACCTGCTCCCCTCCTCCCCTCTCTGCCAAACACCCATCTTGAGGGTCCAGCTCACAGGCTCCCCTTGCCCTCCCCGCCCCGGGTCCTCTCGTGCTTGGAACCCCTGCGCGGTGCTGTGGCCTCCCCCTCTGCCCCCTGGAGCACAGATGCAGACCGCCAGCCACTGTAGCTGGCTGGGCAGAGCCCCGGGATACAGGAGGGGCTTTCTCGTCCTCTAGGACTTTAACAGGCCTCGGAGGAGACGCGTAACCACACAGACGAGGCCGAGCGTCCCGCCTCCCATGTGTGGATTAGGGGCCGCGGCCCGCCCGAGTCGGGCACACAGCACAGGGCCTTATGTACAATAGGGTCCCAGTCAATATCTGTCAACCCAAGAAACCACACAGAAGGTTCTCTGAAGCTGGGCGGTGTGGGACTCGCAGGGGTCCTCAAATCTTCAAGCAGGGTTCCCCAGTCAAAGGTCCACCTTCGCAGGCCGCCCACCAGCCAGGGACCAGAACCAGCCCAGCAAGAGCGTGCTGTCATGCCACAGCGCCTGCAGTAGCCATCCAAATAAGTTTCCTTCGCACAGGGTCAGGTGAGGGGGTGCTTTCATCACCTCCAGTCACCGAGAGTCGGAGCTGGAAGCCTCTGCAGCCGGTCCTGTCACAGGTGAGAGCAGGACCAGGTAGGCAGTGACACAGCCCCTGCCCCTCGCAGGTGGGTGACCTCACTTTCTACTCCAGGAGGATATACCCCCACTTCCCACAAGGGCAGTGAGCATCTGCTCCCTTTCCTCTCCCTCCCTTGCAGGGGCCGCACCAGACACTTGTCCCTTCTGAGGCGTGCTGCCAGCCCTTCTGTGTCCCCTCCACCTCTGCCACCAGCCCCTCCCTTCCTCATCTCTGTGGCTGTTAAGATTGCCGACTCTGCACCTGCCAGCGTGAGCACTCCATCTGTTTCCTGGTCTGAGACCTGGGCTACTCGGATACTCGCTTGAGGGTCGTGGTGAGCACTCCATGAGCGATGACGCACCTGAGCGCTCCGTCAGGGACAGACCCCGTGCGCCCTCCCTCTGCATTCCAGGCTGGCCTCAGCTTCCTGCTCTGGAGGGTGACTCTGGCTGCCACATCCTGGCTCCCGGTCCTGCCTGCCCCACACAGCCCCTCCACTGCAGGTGCTAAGGCCCTGAGGAGACCCCTGCCCGATTCTCCACCTCCCTGGGCCACAGGGGCTGCTCCTCTAGGAGCCCTCTCGCCTCACCTGCTTGTGCAACCCGGCCAGCCCTGGACTCTCATGACGGCCCGTTGCTGATCATGTCCACCTCTGCTGTCTCCGGAGCCCGAGCCGCTTTATCCAGCTCCACTCCCACCTCTGCAGGCCCCCACACTCACAGCAAGCCAGAAACCAAACGCCCTTCTCTTCCTCCAGCAGGGCCAGGTGCCCGATGCCCTGACTCCACCCCCCCCTTCCGCCTGGTCACCACCATCACCATTCGCCTGGGCCTGCCGTCCCATAACCTTCCCGTACCTGGTACGGGGAGTTATTGGAAACTCACGTCTGATCGTGTCATCACCTTCAGTAGTCTCCTTTCCTTGAGGATAAAGCCAACACCCCGCAGCCTGGCCCTGCTCCTCCAGCCCTGCCCCTCCACCCCCTCCCCGGGGCTGAAGTGCTCGTCCTCCTCTCCTGGTCCAGTTCCAGCCCTCCTCTAGGCAGCAGCTTCCCCTCCTCCCCTCCTGAGGCCCGTGTAGAGCCTCTACTTCACCGGCCGCAGCGCCGGCCCCCTGGCCCTGCGATGTCTGGTCACTTTCTGTATCCCTGCCAGGCTGCACAGCTCCGCGGAGGCCTAGGCCCAGTGCCTGGAGCACGGATGTGCCCTGGGCACTGTGGCCGGTTTGTGGAGAGCACTTACCGGTCCCCATGGTCCGAATGGCATGCAGCCCCCACGCTAGCCAGCAGCGTCCTGCACTGAGCCAGCACCAAGCGGCCTGTGGAGACAGAGCACACGTCCCCTGAGTCCTGGGGAGGCACCCTGTCCCGCCCCGTCTGCGTCATCTCTTCTCTGCCACAAGTTTTGGGGCCCCCTCCCTCGTGCCACCTAACGGATCCCAATGCACAGGCCCCTCCGACCGCAGGTGAGGGAACTTGCAGCAGGATCCAGAGAAATCACTTCTCTTCTTTGGCTGCAGAAAAGCAGAACCTACTCTGCCTCATAAAACTAGCCTTGAAGATGTTATTTCTGATCAATTGTCTAGTAAGATACCCAGAATTCTGGTTAGCTGCCTTACTTAACAATTTGTTGCCTTGGTGATAATATTTAAATTTACATCCATCTTTTCTAAAGGCAGAGGCACTTGGGAGCTGTCTTCATCAAGCAAGAAGGCACTTCCATCTTCTTTCACAAGCACAGAGATTAAAAAAATACATTGATGACTGCTGATGTAATTAAAATGAGAATCTCCATCTCATTTAAATGGCCACAGGTCATCCGTGAACATAAAGTCTGCCCCCAAAGGAAAGGGGAGAGATGACAGAGGGACCTTCCTTCCCACAGCAAGGTCTGGAGACGGCCAACAGCCGCCTGCCTCCTTTCCGGTGAGAAGGCGTTTCAGCCCACGTTCTCATTCATGCGGCCGCGGTGCTGGCTGCCCCAGAGTTTCTTCACGCTCCAAACACAGCTGCCCCCTTTCTCTGTGGAATCCAGGACGACAAAGGAGGCAACAACTCTTCTTCCAGGAAGTCAAAAACTGCTCTGCAGATGTGGCTCACGTGTGCTCTCGGGGCCACAGTAATTGCCTCCCAAATAGAAGACGGCTGGTCAGTGCCCTGGACTCCAGCCTCAGGACTCGGGGTGAGCCAGGTGCTGTATGCATCTGGAATGCGAGTAATCCCCACTGTTCCCAGCATGGCGGCAGCTATCGCGGGAACAAACGGAACCCTCAGATTTGTGCTTCGTCCTTACCCTGAGCCAGTTGTTAAAGTTGATCGCCTCTGCTTTCCCTTACCCTCATAAAATACTGTGTAAAACTTGCTGACACAAATGGACCAGCTAGTCTAAAATGTGGTTAGTTTCACCTCCTTCCCTGGAAGCTTTCGGGTAGGACTGGAGCGAGCGCTGAGTGCGCCGGCGTCCAGAACATCATTAGTGTGGTGAGCAAAGTCGGGGGGAAAGAAGGAGCTGTGAGGGGAGCCCCAGGCCACCACGGGGTCACCGCCCGATGGGGCCGTTTGCTCTGGGCACCAGCCAGCCAACGGGGCCCTCGGTGAGCACCTCCTGACAGCACTGAGCCTCCTCCCACCAGCGCCCACCCGCCACACCATGGAGACACCAGGAGGAGAGAGTCGTCACCTTGGAGCTGGGGTCCCCGGATGGAAAAGTTACACGTGTTGGGGAGTCGCTCAGTCCCTGGAAACTGGCTGTTCAGATGGATTCTCTTCTTATCAAATTCAGCCTGAAACATCAATGAGATACTCAGTGACAGCTTCAAAGCCTCCCCACCCCAACTGTCTGAACTTTAGACTTTTCTGGGAAACAAAACCTCAGCCTCAACACGTAAGATAATTATCTTATCGATAAGCATCTACCTATAATAGTTAAGGGGACTGACTATGGAAAGCAAATTAATTAGGAGAAAAAAAATTCTGAATACATATGGCACTTCTACATAAAACCATTAAATATACCCCCTCTGGTATATTGTTACATGTGTCTGTGAAAAAGATAATCCACTTGGTCTGGAGTCCCTCTTTGGGGCCTACGTTTCATCATTTAATTTTTCCCTCTTCCTTTAGGACCTCGGTTGTTCCCAGAGTGCCCAGGGCCTGAGTTTCAATCAACACAGTTCCTTTCGTCCGGTACAGTCCAGCCCATGTCCTGCCTGCCCCCTGGGGCTGCTGTCCCCAGCCCCATGGCTCCCTCGCGGAAGGGCAGATGGTCCACGCTCACCAGCAGCCTCTGCTCCAGGTAGTCGCGCACATCTCTCATGTGGGCCTCGTAAGCCTCGCAGTTCTCCGCCACCAGCTCAGCGGCCTGGGGACACAGGAAGGCGGCAAAGTGAGAAAGCACGTTCAATGGTTGTGAAACAAGGAGATCAAAACAGCTTTAAGTGGCAGAGGCGACCTTTCCTCACACTGCTCATTTTCTGGAACATCACAGGCGATATTTACTGAGTGCTGGCTGTGTGACAGGCCACGATAAGTGCTTGAGAAATGTCATCTTCGCTTGTTCAACAGGAATCTACCAGGCACTTCCTGACACCTCCAGGCACCAGAGATCCCACAGCCAGTAAGACCAAACAGCCATCCCAGTCCTCAAGGCACGTCCACTCCAGAGACACAGACAGATGGACACACACAACAAGGGAAGAGGTGAACCCACATACCGACGGGGTGAGTGCTATGGGGGGAATGAGGGCACGCGGTAGCGGGAAGGTGTGAAGGGGATGGCAGAGCTGGGGGAGGGCGTTCCAGGCAAAGGCGGCCACCGCAGAGGAAAAGGTGAGTGCTCCTGGAATAGAGTGAGCAAGGGGACAGGGCCCCGAGACCTCGGTGACAGGAGGAAACTGAAGCAAAGCACAACAGGGCAAATGCACTTGGATTCTGAGAAAGGGGTGAGCTGGTCTGATTCGCATGTTTAACGATCATTCTGGATGCTGTGTGGAGAACGGAAGAGGCCGTGGCAGGTCCAGACAAAAGATGGGGATGACCTGGTCTGGAGTCGGTGGCGTGGAAATGGACAAGAGGCAGATCCTCAATACACTGTGGAGACAGGACAGACAGGGCTGGCTGTTGCATCGGGTGCCAGGGACAAGGACAAGGGCACCTCCTAGATGTCTGAAGGGAGAACCCAGATGGCGGGAGGCACCATGGGGAGAGGGGACGATGGAGGAGAGAGCGGGACATCGTGGACCGGGAGGAAATGTGAAGTAAGAAGCGGGGACCCGGGTCTCCCAGGAGAAGGGTCAGGACCTGCCCTGAGATGTCAATCAAAGACCTGAGCCCGGGCTGGTGTTAGACCCACGGGACCAGATGAGCGCCACACGGAGCTTTTGTGGAGAGGAGGCTGGGATGGAGCCCAGGAGGCTGGCCGACAGGTGGCGAGGCAGAGGCACAGCTGGGGCGGAGGGGGAAGCAAGCCAGAGAGGAGAGTGGTCCAGCAGCCGTCAGCATGGCGAAAGCTGCCATGGGGCAGATGAGGATGTGACAACACGGCGGTCACTGGGGACCTCCTCAGCCAGTTTCAGGAGAGAAGAGGCACGAGCAGCAAGACTGGGTGTCAGGAGGACGGAGGTAAGGGGGTGAGAGTGTGCAGGCCACTCCTTGGGGACCTTTTGATGTCGGACAGAGAAATATAGGGGAGGAGTTTGGAGGGGCGAGACCAGGGAATGATAGTTTTAAAGGCTGGGGGAATGTTCTAGTAGATAGGAACGTGATGATGCACAAGAGGGGACAACAGCAGGAGGGGCTCTTCTTCAGCCGGCACAGAGAAGGGATGGGAAGCCCAGAAGAGCCCCTGACTCGGCCTGGGTGGGGTGAGGACACGTCTTCTGGGCATGCGGAGGGCTGTGCCAGGGCCAGACTGCATGAAGGGAGCCCAGGCTGGGCAAGGAGAGAGGAAGGACGGACGACGGTCTGTCCCCTAGCGACTGCAGGGTCAGAGGATCTGGGTGCAGGGGTGCCCAGGGGCGAGGAAAGGGTGGCAGGCTGTGGGGGGCCCTGAGCTGAGGCGCCAGCGTGCTGGTAGGCCACCATCTAGTCCTCAGAAGGAATCTCTTTAGGAAGCTGCTGCGATCATCCCCACCTTGCTGGTGGGACACCAGGGCTCGGGGAGGCGGGGTGACTTGACCCAGGGGAGCAAGCAAACCTGCTGGCCTGACCATCCTCTTAGCTGTAACGACGTCACTGTATTTCTTATATTAGAAGAGACTCGAAAAAAGAGCTTTACCCGTTTAAATGCTAAGTCCATGCAACGTACTCTCCAGTCTCGAAAAGTACACTTGCAGGCTGACAAATAAAATTCGAGGCTTTTTCTTGTATCAGTCCGTTTATTGGGATTGTGAATATGATTTCCTAAAGCCCTGGACACCTAGTGAAGCCGAGGGGGAAACTGACGTGAGATGACAGGAAACCTGTGCTGGTCTCTGCTCCCGGGTCCCGGCACAGAGCTCCCACAGCCTCGTAGCCTCCTCAGTGGTAAGAGCACTAGGAGCACCTGTTCTAACATTTGGTCTTCGACTCTGGCTCCTGACCCCGGGATCTTCAATCCCTTGGAATTTCCGGGTGATAGGAGTGTCTTTTGTTCTAAGGAGGCGACTCAGGGGTGGGCTCCTGGATGGGGCTGATCACTGAAAGACCAAGCCGTGATTTGAAGTTTGGAACTTTCAGTCCCCCGCCCCTTCTGCAGAGAGGCGAGAGGGCTCCAAATGGAGTTAATGATTGATCGAAGCCTCCATAAACCACCCCCGTATGGGTCCGGAGAGCTTCCGGGTTGCTGAACACATGGAGGGGCTGGAAGGTGGTGCCCAGAGAGGGCATGGAAGATCCGCACCCCTTCCCTCGTACCTTGCCCTACGCATCTCTTCCATCTGGATGTTCATCTGTATCCTTTATCATATCCTTTTATAATAAACTGGCAATCTAGTTAGTAAACTGTTTCTCGGAGTTCTGTGAGCTGCTCTAGCAAGTTAGTTGAACCTGAGGAGGGGCTCACGGGAACCTCCAATTTATAGCCAGTTGGTCAGAAGCACAGGTGACAACCTGGACTTGTGATTAGTGCCTGAACTGGGGGGTGCATCTTGTGAGATGGAGCCCTCAACCTGTGGGATCTGATACTCTCTCCAGGTAGATAGTGTCAGAACTGAGTTAAACTGTAGGACACCCAGCTGGTGCGGCAGAATTGCTTGCTGCGGGGTAAAGAACCCCCACACCTGCTGCCAGAAGTGTTGAGTGTGACAGTAGTGCAGGGGTAGAGGAGAAACAGAGGAGGACTGAGTTGTTCCCACACACCGACGGACAAAGCAGCTGCTCCGCCAGCCGAGGTTCCCCAGGCTTACCTTCCCGAGGCCGGCAATCATCGGGGTGTTCTCTGTCCTGTAAGAGACAAGGGATGCAATCCTATTTCTGTGCAAAGCAGTTAACAAATGTCCCAGGAGGGAATCCTGTCTGTATGAAAGTCATGTGTTCAGATAAAAAACAAATCACACCCACATCTTCCCTAAACAGGTGCCATGCGGTTGCCCTCCACGTAAAGTTTACTAGTCCTGGCCCAGTGACAGTCGACACGCCCACTGTGGGCAATATATGCTGAGTGTCCACAGTGACAATTCGATCTGGACCCTTTTCCTACCCAGGAGAACCCACTCCTCTCACTCAGACCCCAGAGCCTGCCTCCTTGGTCCCCATTGCCAAACCAGGTGAGGGTCCGAGAATTCACCCCTGACACTGTTCCCTTCAGCCAACGTTTCATCTGAAGCCTCTCCACTGTCACGTGGGAGGAATCCTCTGTCACCAGAGATTTGGGGCATAATAGGGGTGTGTGTACGTGCATGCGTGTGTGTGTGTGTGTGTGCGTGCAGGAGAAGGACAAGAGACCCCTGAAGAGCAGTGGTTCTCATACACTGATCCAACAAACTCTTTGCTCTATTGCAGGAAAAATGAAACAAAACATTAACTTAATAATTTTCCTAATTTTAACTTTTGGCTAAATCAAGTTTTCCTAAGCCTCTGGAGCTGGCTCCTGCTTGCCTGCTGCAGATAAGAAGGCAAGCGTACACGCAGCATAGTATTACAGGAGACTGACCCCACTGCTCTGCCCTGGACGCGTTTATTGATCAGGTCTGTCCCCGGGGACAAGCCCCACACCTGGGGTGGTCTGGGAAGGACAGGAGCCCCGGGCTTGGTCCTAGGCCGGACTCCTCTCCCAGCTGTGGGACCTGTGACGGCATCCACTTTCCGGGCCTTACCTTCATCTGTAGGACCACACGGTCACACCAGGAGCAGCTCTCAAAGGTCTACGCCCTGTGACCACCTGGAGGGCTGGCCAGGGTGAACAGCTGGCACCCCATGTAAGACTGGGAACCCACCCTGTGCCACCCAGTCCTGCTACCAGGCCTGGCCCCTCCCCCACTTCTGAGCAGTCAGCCCTCCTCTACCTCCACCCAGAGTCAGGCAAACCCTGCTTTCCGCACCCTGCCCACACACTGAGCTACCTACTATGGCTTCCAGCACAGCAGATGTTCTGCCTCCTCTTCTTTTTCTAATTAAACTTTTTATTTTGAGATAATACAGATTCACGTGTGGTTGTAAGAAATAATATAGAGACATCCTGTGTTACTCAGTTTCTCCTAAGTAACACTACAGCCAATATCACAACCAGGACATTGACAAGACACAGAACGTTTCCACCACCACAAAGACCCCTCCTGTTGGCCTTCTATAACCACACCAACTTCCCTGAAGTTGCCCCACCCCTTCCTTAACCCCTGGAAACTGCTAATTTGCTCTCCATCTCTATAATTTTGTCATTTCAAGAATGTCATATAAATGGAATCATATGGTTTATAACTTTTGGGGATTGGGTTTTTTCATTCACTATAATTCTCTGGAGATTCCTCCAGGCTGTTGTGTATATCAATAGCTCATTCCTTTTCATTACTGCATAGTATTCCATGGTACAGATGGGCCATAGCTTGTTTAGCCATTCATTCATTAAAGGACATCTGGGTTGTTTGCAGTTTATGGCTATTATGAATAACGCGGCTATACACATTTGTGTACAGATTGTTGTGTGAACGTAAGTCTTCATTTCTCTGGGATAAATGTCTAGGATTGAAATTCCTAGGTCATATGATAACGGTATATTTAGTTTTTAAAGAAACTGCCAACCTGTTTTTCAGAGCAGCTGTACCATTTTACATTCCCACCAGCAATATATGAAAGATCCAATTTCTCTGCATCCTCACCAGCATTTGGTGTTGTCACTATATTTTATTTTAGCCATTCTAACATTTTGCATTCCTGCTAGCAATGAGTGAGAATTCCAATTACCTCACATTCTTGCCCAAAACTAGTACTGTCAATCTTTCCAATTTTAGCCATTCTGGCAGGTATGCCTCTCACTGTAATTTTAATTTGCATTTCCCTAATAGCTAAAGATGTTGAACATCTTTTCATGTGCTTATTTGCTGTCTATGTATCCTCTTTGGTGAAATGTCTGTTCATGCCTTTTGCCCATTTTCTGAATGAATTGTTTGGGGTTTTTTTGCTGTTGAGTTTTGAGGGTTTCTTTACATACTCTAGATGCTAGTCCTTTGTCGAATCTGTCATTTGAAAATATTTTCTCCTAGCACATAGCTTGTCTTTTCATCCTCTTAACAAAGTCTTTTACAGGACAGAAGTTTTAAATTTTGATGAAGTTCAATTTATCAGTTTTTCCTTTTAGGGATGCTTTTGGTGTCAAGTCTAAGAACTCTTTGCCTAACCCTGGATCCTGAAGACTTTTTTCCACGTGTTTTTCCTGAAAGTTTTATAGTTTTATGTTTTACATTTAAGGTCATGATCTACTTTGAGGTAATATTTTATAAGGTGTGAGATTTAGGTCAAGGTGCATTTTTTGCCTACAGATGTCTAACTGCTCTAGCACCATCTGTTGAAAGGCCATCTTTCCTCCACTGAATTGCTTTTGTGTCTCTGTCAAAAATCATTTAGGCATATTTCTAGTTCTATCTATTCTGTCCCATTGATCTACCTGCCAGAATTTTGATAGAAATTGGGTTAAGCTTGTAGATCAATTTGGAGAGAATTGACATCTTTACTATACTGAGTCTTTTGATCCATGAACTTGGTATGTCTCTCCATTTATTTAGATCTTTGATTTCTTTCATCTACATGGTGTATTTTTCAGCATACAAGTCCTACAATACATGTTTTGTTAGATTTACATCTGAGTATTTTTGAGTGATTGTAAATGGTATTGTATTTTAAATTTTGTTCATTACCAATATATCAAAATACAATTGATTTTTGTATGTTTATGATGTATCCTGTGATCTTGCTGGACTCACTTATTAGTTCGAAGAGTTTTCTTATCTATTCCTTGGTATTTTCTACAGAGAAAATCAGGTGATCTACAAATAGGGACAGTTTTGCCTCTTTATCTCCAATCTGTATACCTTATTTTTCTTTTTCTTAGCTTCTGCACTGACTCGAGCTTCCACATTGTTGAATAAGAGTGTGAAAGTAGACATTCTGGCTTGTTGCTGATCACAGGGGTAAAACATCCAGGCTTTTACCATCGAGTATGATGTTAGCTGTAGGTGTTTTGTAGATGCTCTTTTCAGGTCGAACAAGTTCTCCTCTAGTCATATTATTCTGAGAGTTTTTAACGACTGAATGCTGAATTTTCTTAAATGCTTTTTCTACATCAAATGATATGATGATGTTATTTTTCTTCTTTAATATGCTGGATTACTTTGATTGATTTTTGCATATTGAATACTGAACCAGCCTTGCATCCCTGAAACAAACTCCACTTCGTTATGGTGTGTAAATTATTTTTATATTTTGCTGAATTCCATTTGCTAATATTTTGTTAAAGATTTCTGCATCTAAATTCATGAGAGATATTTGGTAGTTTATGTTTTTGATAAGTGGCTCACTTCGTCTAAGTTGTCAAGTTCATGAGTGTAGGGTTGTTTGTAGCATTCCCTTATTATCCTTTTGATGTTGGTAGGGTCTGTATTGATATCCCGTTTCATTCTTGATAATGGCAATTTGTTTCTTGTCTCTTTTTTTCTTTGTCATCTCTTGCTAGAGATTCATCAAGTTTATCAGTATTTTCAAAAGCCAGCTCTTTGTGTCATTGATTTTTTAAAAAATCACTTTTGTTTTCATTGATTTCTGTTCTTATCTTTATTAAGTGCTTTAGCTGTGTCTCACAAGTTTTGATAAGCTGTATTTTCATTTTCATTCATTTCAATGAATTTAATTCCTTTGAGACTTCCTCTTTGACCCATGGATTATTTAGAAGCGTGTTGTTTGTTTCTAAGGGAAGATTTTCCTATTATCTTCCAGTTACTGATTTCTAGCTCGATTCCATTGTGGTTAAAGAACACACTTTATGATTTCAGTTCTTTAAATGTATTGAGCTTTGTTTAATGGCATAGGATATGGTCTATCTTAGTATATATTCTGTGGCACTTGAAAAGAATGTGTACTTTGCTGTTGTTGGGTGTAGTGTTCTAAACATGCCAATTAGATCCTGTTGGTTGATAGGTATTATTGAGTTCTCCTATATCCTGGCCAATTTTTGTCTAGTTGTTCTATCATTGTTGATGGAAGGGTATTGAAGTCTCCATCTATAATTGTGCATTTGTCTATTTCTCCTTCCAGTTCAATCAGTTTTTGCCTTGCATATTTTTCAGATCTATTGTTTACTGTATCCACATTTAGGATTGCTGTCTTCTTGGTGGACTCTTTTATCATTGTATAATTCACCCCTTCTCCCCCGTAATTCTTTTCTTTTTTTTTTTTTTTTTAGATTTTTTTTTAATTTATTTTATTTTTTCCCCCCAAAGCCCCAGTAGATAGTTGTATGTCATAGCTGCACATCCTTCTAGTTGCTGTATGTGGGACTCGGCCTCAGGATGGACGGAGAAGTGGTGCCTCGATGCGCACCCGGGATCCGAACCCGGGCCACCAGCATTGCAGCGCGCGCACTTAACCACCAAGCCACAGGGCCGGCCCTCCCCCGTAATTCTTGATTGACTCTTTTATCATTATATAATCCATCCCCCGCCCCCGTAATTCTTTGATCTGGAGTCTCCTTTATTTATATTATATAGCCATTCCTGCTTTCCTTTGATTAACGTTTGTGTGATACATCTTTTTCCATCCTTTCCTTTCAACCTGCCTCTATTGCTATATTTGAAGCGAGTTTCTTGTAGACAGCATATAATTGGGTCAGCTTTTTAAAATTCACTCTGCCAATCTCTGTCTTTTAATTGGTGTATTTAGACCATTTACACTTAATGTAATTATTGATGTTAGGGCTTAAGTCTGCCTTTTTATTTTTTGTTTTCTGCTTATTCTGTTTTTTACTTCTGTTTTGTTTTTCCTACCTTTCTGTGGGCTACTTGAATATTTTTCAGAAGTTCAAGTGAAGAATAGAAACCTTACCACCTTTTATATCTCTTTACCTTCCCCCTTTTATAATATATTATCTTAAATATTTTTTCCACATACATTTTAAACCATGTCAGACAGTGCTATGATTTTTGCTTAAGCCATCAAGTATAATTTAGAAAACTCAAGAGGAGAAGAAAAGCCTGTTTTATTTACCCATATTTTTGGTTACCATGTTCGTTCTTTCTTTGTGATATTCCAAGGTTCCTTCTTTTACTGTTTTCTTTCTGTTTAAAGAACTTCCTTTAGTCATTTTTAGCAAAGGTCTTCTGATAACAAATTCTGTTAGTTTTCCTTCATCTGAGAATGTCTTGATTTCTCCTCCATTCCTGAAGGACATTCTGCTGTGTACACAACTCTGGCTTGTCAGTCCTTTTCTTTGAGCACCTGCAAAATACTGCATCATTCCTTCTGGTCTCCATGGTTTCTAATGAGAAATCCACTGTCATTTGAATTATTTTTCCCCTATAGGTAACGTGTCATTTTTTTCTCTGGCTGCTTTCAATATTTTTTCTTTGTCTTTCATTTTCAGAAGTTTAATTATATGTCTTGGCATGCATTTCTTTTGGTTTATCTTCTCTGGAGTTTGTTTAGCATCTTTGTTTATATCTCTTACCAAATTTGGGAAGTTTTCAGACATTATTTCTTCAAGTTCTTTTTTATCCTGCCCTTTCTCCTCTCCTTTTGGGACTTCGATGAAATGAGTGTTAGACCTTTTGTTATAGTCCCGCAGGTCCCTGAGGCTCTGTTCAATTTTTTTCCAGTCTATCTCCTCTCTGATGTCTAGACTGGGAAATCCTATTGTTCTACCTTTCAGTTCACTGATTCTTTCCTCTGTTGCCCCTCCTCTGCTGGTGAGCCCATCCACTGAGCTTTTTGTTTAGGTTGTTGGGGTTTTTAGTTCTAAAATTTCCATTTAGTTCTTCTTTACATCTTTTTATTTGCTGACACTTCTATTTCATTTGTTTCAAGTGTGTTCATAATTGCTCATTGAGGCATTATTACTGTGTCTGCCTTCAAATCTTTGTCAGATAATTCTAACATCTTTGTCATCTCAGTGTTGCCATCTATTGATCATCTTTTTTCATTCAATTTAAGATCTTTCTGGTTCTTGGTATGATGAGTGATTTTCTTGGTACGATGAGATGTTTCTGTATTATGTTAAGAGAGTCTGAATATTACTTAACCTTCTTGTTTTAGCTGGCTTTTCTTGACACTGCTCTGGCAGGGGGAGGAGTGTGCCACCTCATCACTGCCAGGTGAGGTAGATGTCCAGGCTCCCTATGTGGCCTGTGTTAACACCTGTTGTGGGGATACTCCTTGTTAGTGACGGGTGTGGGTGGAAGCCCTGGGTCCCCATGTGGTCTCCACCGACACCGTGGTGGGGGTGCCTCATTACTGGCTTGTGGGGGCAAAAGTCCTGGCTCCTGACTGGGCCCTTTCTGACACACCTGGTGGCGGTGTAGGGTGTCTCGTCACAGCCTGTGAGGGTGGAAGTCTGGGCTCTGTGCTCTGCATTTGCTGGCGTGGGTGGGGGTGGCGGCAGTTTACTCTGTGGTGATTGGCTGGAGTAAAGTGGGTACTGTCTAACAGTTCTCTGTCTTGTGAGGCTGTCCCTTTCCTGGTCCACTGGCTAGAGAGGGCAGGCTTTGGTTGAACATTTTTCGTCTGCCCTCCTTGGTGTTTCTGAGTTACTGGCTTCTTCAGCTCTATGTCTTGGATAAAGGAGGCAAAAGAAAACCCAGGGCATTCACCTCCATTCCTGTTTCTCCCTCTTGTTATCGAGTTTCTGACAAAACATGTGGTGCTGGCCCCACCTTGTTCCCTGGTTAAAACGTCCCTATGTGTCACGGGGACACAGGAGCTTCAGAAAGGAAAGCAGGTGCTCCTAGGTGGCTCCGCTCACCACACAGTCAAGAGAAGAGCAGCACTTCTCAGCCAGGAGGGCTCCAGCTCTGAATCACCACCAAAGAGATGGCAGATCTGTGAGTCCTGGGTGCGGAATCAACCAGTGGAGCCAATTCTGATTCAGGAGTGATGAAGACTGTGCTATTACAGTGCTTCCAAGAGACAGAGAACCCCACTGCCCTACAGGCCAACTGCATGGCCAGCAGGTCAGAGACCTCATTAACCTTCTACCTTACCCTGGCCTGAAATTCCGTTCTTGTCCACCTCCAAACAGCATGGGATACAGAGGGGTGAGTTCACCCAGCCCTCGGACGTAAAGGGCTCCAATCCTGGGACCATAGAACTGAAAGGAAAAGTCGGTCATTTATTCAATAATAAACTTCTGAGGACCTTCTCTGTATATGGCTGAGCGCTGAGAGGCACACAGAGAAACAATAATGTCCGGGCCCCACAGCTGTGCACCCATCACCGCTCCAGACACGCAGGGTCACAAACGTCTTCAGGGTGAGGGCCAGAGACTCTCGTTCTCGGCTCAGTGGCAGCGGAGCTCCTCTGCGCATAACGGGACAGAATTTACAAAAGGAGAGGGGTGGGAACTGGAGAGCACCAAGGGCTTTTCCTGGGTATGATTCTAGGTTTTCAAATCGACACTATGCAACAATTTTAAGTGCCACAGTGTCAGGCCAGCATACAGGCTCCTTTGGAAACCAGCTGAGTACTGTGCTTCAAAACGGAGAACTAAAGATATTTCAGGTTCTAGTCAGCTGCCAGAAAGAGGAGCAAAAGCTTCAGAAGGGTCTTCATTATGAACTATTTCTCCTATTCCACCTTAGAGGTAAGAGTCACTAAAACCAAACCTTTGCATTCCAGAGCCACACTTTGAATCAAGGTAGAGAAAGCAATCTTTTTTTGAACCTCACATATTCCGTCCTTGGTGTGGGGGCTACGAGTGGGCTGATGAGGGTCTGCACACGCTCTCTCCCTGCTGCAGAGAACACGCATTACCTGTCTAACCTCACCTGCCTTCTGTCTTACCCGAGACCTCAATGCCCTCCCACAGCCGCCCCACTCCTGCCCGGATGGGTTTGGGGCCCCACTATCCCTGTCATGGCACTCATCAACGGCATCCTAGCTGCTGCTGCTCTCCCCTTCTTTACGCTGCTGAGGGCAGGGGCCGCGAGTCGCTGGTCACCGTGTCCCCGGGTCCTTGCTCTGGGAAGGCACCCGAGGCACACTGGGCGACAAGTGAATGGTGGACAGTGCTGCTGGCTCTGCTCCACGGTGAGCCTCGGGGTCATCGGGCATCATCCCCACCAGGAGGGAAAGAGGCCTCTGCAGACACACCTTGTGCCCCACGATGGTCAGGAAGTCCACGCCCAGGTCCTCCACGTCCACACGCGTTTTCCCCAAGGCCTGCGCGGCGTCTGTGTGCAGAAGGATGAGGGGCAGCCCAGCCGCCGCCCGCCTCTGGTTCAGGGCTTTAATCCGCTGACTGATTTCAGGGACCGGCTGAAGTGGGAAAAAACAAAGAGTTGAGTACGTTGCTGTGATTTGATGAAAACCAAATGAAAGAAATAAGGAGTCATTAATGAAGACAGGCAAAAACAGTTACAAAACTGAAGAACAGAGAAAAGAAGGCGGCGGAGGCTGGGAAGCGTGCGGACACCAGCAAAGCCTGGCTCCCTTCTCCCCACGAGATTTTCTTAAAATGAAAAAGCGACTCACCATGATGACGCCGGTCTCATTGTTGGCCAGCATGATGGTCACGAGGCAGGTGGTGGGGCGGACGGCCGCCAGGATGTCGTCGACCTCTGCCTGCCCATTCACCTTGGACACTGGGACAAAGGTGACCGCTGAGGTATGAAGCACAAGTACCAGGGTTAATCCCACAAAGTAACCTCTCTTGACGGTTCACTCAGATATAGCTTAAGAAAACAATTTTCCACAGTTAAAAAGATAATTTATTGTAAAAGTTCAGAAAACCATAAAGAAAAAATATAAGCCACCCATTATTACCCTGCCCAGAAATAATCAGCTTGAAGGCTTCTTTAATGCAGCTTTGGCTGGCGGGTTCGTTGCATGGAACACACTCTCCTTCCTGCTTCTAACGGACCATGAGGAGGTAAGATGCTCTCAGTTCATGAGAGCATCTCAGGGCACCAAGACTTGACCCTCACTCACTCGACCCTGGACGGACAGTCTGACCATCTGCATTGTGCCAGGCGCTGTTCCAGGCACCTGTGGCCTCACTACTGCAGACGGAAAATCAGTGGAGGTAGCTAAATCGAGGTTTTTGGTTCAAAATGGTGGAAAACAAATACATCTACTTTCTCCCCAAGGTCCCACTGAAACGAGAGAACAGGTATATTTCCAAATAAGGGGTATCTCCTGTAGACAAGGTATTTTGAAGAATCCCCAGAATACAGAAAGATGATGGCATTAGATTCATAGGAACAGGGAAAAAACTTAGTTTTTTCTTAGAACTTAGAACACTAATAGGTGAAAACTAATTCCACAGGAAGTATGAAAGGACCCAGTGACCATCCAGGTTCAGGGTGCACAGCATGGGCGCAGGGCAGGGCCGATTGCCCAGACAGGCAGAGCACCCGCTTTACACCCAGCAAGGGGGTGGCACCACACGCCCCGAAGAGGAACGACAGGCCCAGGCAGGCTCCTGGGACAGGTCGGTGCCAGCGAGAGAAGGGCAGAGCTTGTGCACCACTATAGGATTCAAAGAGGAGCAAAGGAAAGGCAGCTCCGGCCAGGACGGCTTGTCTTTTATTAAGGACATGGGAACTTGCTCACATCAGCAGCAGCTAGGGAACTGCAATCAAAACTGCAGTGAGGACCACTTCACACCCACTAGGATGGCTATAATAAAAATACAGACAGTAGCAAATGTTGGCGAGCCTACGGAGAAAGTGGAACCGTCCTGCACTGTTGGTGGGAATGTAAAATGGTACAGCTGCTTTGGAAGACAAAGATTAAGGTTAAACATAGAGTTACCATATAACTCAGCAATTACACTCCTAGGTATGAACCCAAGAGAAATGAAAACGTGTGCACACAAAAACTTATACACAAGTGTTCATAGCAGCATTATTCATAATAGCCAAAAACTGGAAACAACCCAAATGTCCATCAACTGATGAATGGATAAATAAAATGTGGTCTATATATATATACCATAGAATATTATTCATCCATAAAAAGGAATTAAGTTCTGAGACATGCTACAATATGGATGAACCTTGATACATTAGGCTAAGTGAAAGAAGCCAGTTATAAAAGACCACATATTATGTGATTCTATTCATATGGAAGTCCAGAATAGGGAAATCTCTAGAGAACATGGACCAGTGGCTGCCTAGGGTTGAGGGAAACGTGCCCATCTTCCTCCATTTTATATGGGACGCCACCACAGCACGGCTTAACAAGCAGTGTGTCCGTGCGCACCCGGGATCCAAACCGGCAAATCCCTGGCTGCCACAGCGGAGCGCGCGCACTTAACCACTTGTGCCACCGCGCTGGCCCCAGTGAGGTTTCTTTTTGGGGTGATGAGATGTTCTATAATTGATTGTGGTGGTGGTTGCACCACTCTGTGAATATACTAAAAACTAGTGAATTGCACACTTTAAATGGGTGAATTGTACGGTGTGTGAATTATGCCTCCATAAAGCTGACTTACAAAGAGAACAGTTGCCAGGTGTGGCGAGGGAGGCGGTGATAGATAGTCCAAGTCCTCATTTTATATCGGCGAGTCAGCAAACAGATGCTTGAGTTGATAAACCAAGGGATGGAGATTATGTTTGTAAGTTATTAAGTGTAAACTGGAAGTAAGTAAAATGATAATGATAACCACAAAACAAAAAACAAAGAACAAAAAACAGGGCAAACTAGAATGGCAGTTACCTCTGAGGAGAAGGACTCGGGGCAGCAGGGGAAAACCTCTACTTTGTACTTCATTCCTTTCTGTAAGGTTTAAATGATTTCCATCACATGCGTGTCTATACTTTGTAAAAATCTGTGTAATTTTAAGCAAGAGGTTAAATGCAACAGTAACTAATAACGATGTATACTAAGTTGTCCTTCCCTGTATAAGACACAGAAAAAAGGCCCTACAGAAAAGAGGAACTACAATTTAAATAAGAAAGTTAGACCTGACTTGTTTTTTTTAGTTAAAGTGGTGCATTCAGGTAAGACCATAAAGAGAAAAACCTTTCCAGGAGGCAAACAGGAAAATCAATAAAAAGGGTTCATAGTCAAACCAAGCAGTTCTGTTACGGTCCTTTATCTTTAAGATGAAAATACTTTCTCCTGATTCACCTTCCAGGCAGATGAGGGAACAAGGCTAATGCTGAGAAGTACATCACTTTCTTATGTAAAGCACAGCACTAACCTTGTCTTGGGGGAAAAAAGCTCTTACATTTTCAAAAGTTAGTGGCCACATCCTGTGTCTTGAGACTTCATTTCACAGGAAAAGTGAAAGAAAGACCATTGTTGGCTGTGCAACAGTGACAAAGCTCCACTTATCCCTGGGACTCCCTGGCAAGCTGCTCGTGGCACCCACGAGCCTCCGGGTGAGGCCCCGGCGCCATCTCCCGCCTCTCTCCCACTCTCACTGACAGGCCCTCGTCTCCTCTCTGTGGAGATAAAAGCACGCCTCAGGGGCACCTTTATTCTCGTTTCTACCAGCTGAAGTTGATGTCTATTTGGTCCTTGTTCTTTATATCAGAGGACGTGGAAGCCAAGATTTAATTATTAAAATGAAATAATGAAAAGCACTGTTCAGCATTTTATAGACATGCTATTTAAACATGCATATATTTATTACATGTAAGAGTCTGAAATATCACTTGGTAATATAAATGACTCGTTCTACACAGTGATTATTAATTTTTTCCTACAGGAAAACCCAGGAGCATTGACCGACCCCCATGTGGCGGCCTGGAAGAACAGGCTGTGTGACCTCGGCACCTGACAACAGCCGGAAGCCCTGTGCAGGAGCGAATGATTCACTATGTCCCAGGGGTGGTGCCCTCCACTGAATCGGTCAAGGCGGGGTAGCTGTCCCGCTGGGGTCCAGCCAGGCTGGTCACTCACCGGCCACGTGCTCCTTGACCAGGTGCTCCAGGGGCAGACGGATGGAGTCGTGCTCCACGGTGCAGGTGACAAAGTGGGGCGTGGCCCCCTCCGCCGGGCTGTGGTGCTCAGCCGCGTCCCTCTCTGAGGTGTGGATTTTGTGGAAATGTTTCACCACAGAATGGATTACTAAGTTATTTGACTGCAGAGATACAGCAGAAAAATCACTTACAAAAATTGCCCTAAGGGGAGAGTCAGAGCAGCAACCTCTCCCACTCATGTTTTCCTTCATGGCTAATATTTAGAAAGAAAAAAAATGGCCTCAAAGAAACTTAACTTCCTGGGCTGTACCTTCTGAAGGGCCTAACTCAAAGATTTGGGGGTTTCAAACTTCAGAATTCATTTCTGGTCAAGTATGCCTGTTCTGTTGTTAAGTGACATTATGCATTTTTAAATTTTATAAATCTGTCAAAAAAGAACATTCTGCCCTGGCACCCATCACAGGGGGACTGTAAGCTGGTACAGGCTCTGCTAAGGGCCACTTGGCATATTTAGGAAGTAAGCCCTTGACCCAGCAAGTGTACTTCTTGGACTTGGTCCTACAGCTACACTTGCACAGAAGAAAATGATGTACATAAAGGTTATTTACTTATTTACTTAGTTATAATAGGAAGATTGGCCCTGTGCTAACATCTGTTGCCAATCTTCCTCTTTTTTTTCTTTTTTCTCCCCAAAGCCCCAGTACGTAGCTGTGTATCACAGTTGTAGAGCTGTAACTCTTCTATGTGGGATGCCGCCTCAGCATGGCTTGATGCGTGGTGAGTAGGTCCGCGCCTGGGATCCGAACTGGCGAACCCCAGGCCGCCGAAGCAGAATGCACGAACTTAGCTGCTACGCCACCGGGCCGGGCCCCAAGAAGGTTATTTATTAATAGTAGCACTGTTGACAAAGCAAAACCTTGGAAAGCCCTCAGTGTCTCTCAATAAGGGGACTTGAATAAATTACGTGACACTGTTCAATGGAACACAGAGCAGATGTAAAAACACTGAAGGGATGCTCTATGGGCCGATACCAAAAGGCCTCAAATACACTTGTTGAATGGAAAAAGGTGGCAAATGTCATACACAGTATCCTACAATTTATATAAAAAGGGTAAAATAAAAAAAATACATGAATAAACATTCAAAAAAAGGGTAAAATACATAGACGCTTGCTTATATACGCAAAAAAATCCTTAAAAAGGTAAAAAGGGAAGGTTTAGAAAAGAATATACAAATCTACATACTTATTTGCTTTGAACGCAGAGACTATCTCTGGAAGACACAAGAGAAACTAACAATATTACTCTCCTGTAGGGAGAGGAAGTGGATACTGAGGATTTGGGGTGGGAAGAGCCTTTTTTAAAAAAAGGAACCTTTTCTCTTATTTTTAAGTATAACATATACACAGAAAAGTGTGTAAAATATCAGTGTAAGTTTAATGAAAAAGTGTAACAGACAATACCCGAGTACCTGTTCCCTTGGTCAGGACAAAAACACTGCCCGCACTGAGGGAACACCTCCCATGCTCCCTCCCGTCACCCCCCCACCCCAGGTGCCTGCCCCCCTGACTTTTGCAGCAATCCTCTCCTTGTTTTCTCTACACTGCACTTCCTGTGTAGGCATCCCTAAACAATACTGTCTGGTTTGCCTCTTTTTGAGCTTCATGCGAATGGAATTGAACTGAATTCATTTTTTTTCTCAATTAAAGATCCCGTCTATTCAAGGATCCGAAGGCACTGCACAACAGGAAGGCGGGAGATGCTGCTTGTACATGCTGAGGCCTCCATGCACGGGGCACAGAGGACTTAAAATGCACTGAGGGTTTAACAATGCACGCCTGGTGGAGAACCCAGGCCACCAACGCAGCGGTTCACCCTCATCTGAGACGGTGCGGAGGTGCTCGGGGACGGACCACTCAGATGTGCTTCTCCAAAAGGTGGGCGCTTCCTAGGAGTCTCAGGTCACAGCCTTGTAGAAAACGCTGCTGCCCCACAGAGCGATTTTCGGTCCAGAAAAGAGGGGCCTTCTGGGCTCCATGTGGCTTCAGTGGCCCAGCAATCCCATTTAGGGGGTCCACAGGTCACCACGGATGGCAGTGTAAAAGATGATCCGACCGACTGTGAACAAGATGAAGATGCCCAGGCCCCTCCCACGTGCCGCCACCACCTGTAGGCAGCTGCTGAAGGGGCACAGGACTCCACACTGACCACGTCCCAAGAAACCTCACAATGGCTATGCTCCTGGGTGGCACTGGGAGCACAGTGGCCTCTCTTGGAAGCAGCAGGTCACATCTGAAAATGCACCACATGTCCCAGGCCACAACGTTCCTCGGACCTGGCTCCAGAAAGACCAGGACAGCCCCACCGGGCAGCTGGGGCTGAGGCAGCTCCTGGCGAGGCACCAGGAGTCTGGTCCTCGGGTGGTGGTCACAGTGCCCAGAGGCCTGGTGGCAGCTCCTGCCCCCTCACCCAACCAGGCCATGGTGGCTCTGCTCTGCCAGGCTCAACTTACTCTTTTACCACATGGCAAGATCCATCACATTGCTGCAGGTAGCTGGTGGTGTTCCACGGTAGGACTGCACCACAAGGTACTAACATTGGTCCACGCTAATTCTGAGGGACAGCTGGGTGGTTCCCAGTTCCTGGCTGTCATGAACAATCTTCACCTGTCCCCTGGTGCACACGCGCCTCACTTGTCTGGGACATGTACCTGCTGGCTGGTAGGGTACGTGTGTCTTCTACCTCACCAGATGCCAACCCAACTTCCAAAATGGTTCTGTGAGTGCTCACTGCCCTACATCCTCTGTCAAACCTGCTATTACTGGAATTCTTCATTTTTACCATTCTGATGGGTGTGCAGAGGAGTTTCAGTGTTTTTCACTCTGACTATTTATGAGGCTGATCATCTCCTCCAGTGTAGAAACCACGTGGGCTTCTCCCTGGTGAAGTGCAGATTCAGGTTTCTGGCCCCTATTTCTACTGGGTTATCTGCCTTTATGTTCTGGATGCTGGTCTTTTGTCAGTTACATGTTGCAAATATCTTCTCCCACTGTCTGCTTGTCTTTTTATTTCCTTCATCCTGTCCTTTGATGAACTGAAGTTTGTTTTGTTATGGTGGTGGTGGTGGTAAAATTTATCAATCTTTTCCTTTATAGTTAATGCTTTCTGTATTATATTTAAGAAATCTATCACTGAGACATCACAAAGATATTAACTTATCACCTAAAAGCTTTATAAATTTTGCTTTTCATGATTAGGTCTTTATTACACCTGGAGTTATTTTTTTGTATGTGGTGATGCAGAATTCCAATTTCCTCTTTCTTTGTGAATATACAGTTGTCCCAGCACCATGTGCTGAAGGGACCATCACCTCCTCCTGCTCTGCTGTGCCACCCCAATCACATATGATGGTCATATAATCTAGCATCTGAGCCAGAAACATTTAAGAATAAGAGGGCAGCATTATAATTATGTCAGGACAACACGCATATCCTGGGACTGTCCTGAGCAAACCAGGACAGATGACCACCCAGTCACGTGACAAGGGCCCATCCATGTGCGGCTCTGCTTCTGGTCTAGTGTCTATCCTTGCCCTAGGACCATCTGCTTTAATCGGCAGAGCTTTATCAAAGGCTTGATGTCTGGTAGAGCAAGTCATTTTCACTGTGTTCTTCATCTGCAAGGTCTTGACTATTCTTGGCCTTATTTTTGTTTTGGTTTTTTTTGAGGAAGATTGGCCCTGAGCTAACATCTGTTGCCAATCTTCCTCCTTTTCTCCTTCCCAAAGCCTCAGTAGATAGCTGTACGTCATAGTTGTACATCCTTCTAGTTGCTCTATGTGGGACGCTGCCTCAGCATGGCTTGATGAGTGGTGGGTAGGTCTGCGCCCGGGATCTGAAACAGAAAACCCCAGGCCGCCAAAGTGGAGCATGCAAACTTAACTGCTACGCCACCAGGCCGGCTCCTTCTTGGTCTTTTGTGTTTCCATATAAAGTAGTTTGTGAGATTCCACCAAAAAACTGTCAGAATTTTGATTGAGGTCGCATTGAATCTACAGATCAATTTGGAAAGAACTGACATATCTATAATATTGAGTCTTCCAATCTGTGAACATGACATTTTGCTCCATTTATTTTGAACTTCTGTGAAGGCTCTCAGTAGTATTTCTGTTACTTTGCCAGTGTGTGTGTAGCATCTTACAATTTTTTTTTTTACTAGATTTATTTCCTAAGTATTTGATATTTTTTGGTGCTCTGGTAAATACCCGTTTGTTGCTGGCACACAAAAATACAATTGAGTTTTCTATCTAATAACTTGCTAAATTTACTCACTAACTCTAATAACCTAGCTACAGAATCTCTCAGGTTTTCTATGTGGACAGTCACGTCACCTGTGAACGACCGTCGTGCCTTCCTTCCCAGTAAGAAAATGAGACGGTGAGTATTACTAATCGAGCAGAGGCCCTCACGCCATCCCACTGTCTTGGAGCATCTTCTATCAATTTAAAAATAAGTACCTTTGGAATGGGTCAAACCTCAAACTCTCCATAAGGATAACAACTTAGTAGGCATTCAAAGGAATGATTCCAGGGCAAAAAGAAGGGGAAACTCTCTCTATTGAAATAAGAACACAGAGCAAGTTAATTTACACATCATATTACCAATATCCTATCAGCCACCTAGCATTTACTTATAGGATAAATACTGGCTCATTACATCAAGCCAATTTGTAAAATAGCAAGGCCAAGCATTATTCTTTCTTCAAAAAAAAATAATACCAAGAGGGAACCACTTTCTGTTTTGTATTAAAACTTACAACTAAAAGAATGTGAGACTGCTCATAAACCTTACCTCGGTGCCCCCGGAAGTGAAGATTATGTCCTGAGGTTTGCCGCCTATCATCTTCGCAAGGTTTTCCCGAGCTGCGTTGATGATATCCTTGGCCTTCCTACCTTAAGGGACCAAAACGGAAATTCACTAGCATTGCTTCACCAAGCCCAACCAACTCATGTGTAAAAGAATGACGGGACATGAAGGAGCGAGACCTGAATGGGCAGTTCTAAGACGAAACATGTCTCGTCAACGAGAACACAACAATATGGCACAACCTAGAAATCTCTTGGTGAAGGGGCAACAGTGAGATATTAGCAAATTAGTGAAAACGACTGAGATTTAAGTAACTTAGTGAGAGCCAGAGACACAATACGCCAGGATGCCTGGGAACCCTAAAATGTCCTAAGACGTGGTTTTCTTCTTACCAGATGCTACAGGAGAGGGGAAGCTGTGGCCATCTGCCTTGCTTCCCGTTCATCAAGACAGGAGAACGAAAGGATGGACTAATTTGTTTAAGATCATGCTGCAAAACAACAAAAATAAGCAAAAATAGAACTCATGACTCCTCAACACAAAGTCCAATGCCATATCTCACATTGCAGGTCCCCCTAGGAACACTAGAAACGTTACTGCCTCAGGGATATATTTGCTTTCAAATAGGACTGTGCATCTCAGCTATCACCCAGTTTCACTGGCTGGTAGGGACCAAACTTCATGTGGCAGAGAAAGAAAGGCCCTGAGATGGGAATTCTGAAAATTTCGATGACCATTCTTACTTAGTCTATGGCCCAGTAGGCTCCGAATTTTTTTGATTATTCAGTCCTATTTATATAAAAAATAATTTGAGCAGGCACCACTAAAATAAATATATATATATTATAAAACATACATAAAAATAGAAACGTAAAAGGATGTGCAAAAATAAGTATACAAAGTAATTCACACACTCCTTCAGACTATCGTATAGAGTTTAATTTCAAGCAGTGAAGGTCTATGGTGTTTAGGAAAACCTAGTTATTTCAATTAGTGATCTGTTCAAAGCCTGTAATAACTGTCAATCAACTGAGGCAGGACACTGCCTGGCACATAGTACTAGCTCCTCTTGGAATGTTGCTCAGATCTCGTCCACCAGCCACATTCCCGCTCCTCCTCTAAGATGCTGTTGAGAAGGCTCCTCTGAGAAGCCCTGGGGCTGATTCTGAAGCAGTAGCTCCCTCTCTGCTCATGTTCCCCCTCTCCTCCCAGGGCAACTGCTGTTGCCAGTTTGGTGTATGGTCCCCCAACCTTTTCCAAGGTACTTACGGACCTTCATATACGCCTTTCACAGGGTTTTCTTTTTTCTTTTCCAAAAGGGGTTTCATAATTTACATATCGCTTTGCAAAAACTTCTCTTTTCCCACTTATCAACAAGCCTTGGAGAGCCTTCTAAATATGGACTCGTAGGGCTACCTCACCACCACTATATACTGATTAGAATGGCTAAAATGAGAAGACTGACCATTCTAGGTGTTCGGAGGGCATGCAGGAACCGTGACTCTCTCATACACGGCTGGTGGGAAGAGAAAATGGTACCACTGCTTCGGAGAGAGGATGGCAGTTCCTTAAGAAGTCAAATGTACACCTACCATGTGATCCAGCCGTTCTGCTCCTAGGTATTTATGGTAAACACTATTTACTGAGAGTAAAGAAAGCAGATGTCCATGACTTGTACACAAATATTCACAGCAGTGTGATCTGTAATAGCCTAAAACTGGAAACAGCCCGAATGTCCACCAAGAGATGAATGCATAAACACACCATCGTCTGGCCAAACTATGGAACACTACTCAGTGGTAAAAAGAAATCAACTGTGGGTACACGCAATAACATGGATGAACAATGCTGACCAAAAGAAGCCAGACAAAAAACCCGTAAGATTCCACTTTTAGAAAAATATAGAAAATGCACACTTATCCACAGTGACAGAAAACATATCAGTGGTTCATTACAAAGGGGCACCAGGGGACTTTTGGGGGCAATAGAGATGTTGACCATCTTGATTGTGGTGATGGCTTCTGGGGTACATACACGCGTCAAAAGTTATTATATCGTGCACTTTAACTGTATGTTAATTACACCTCAATAAAGCTGTCAAAGGGGGAAGGGGCCCCTTACTGCACCGCTCCTTTTGCTCACTGACACAGAGATGCGAGACCATGAGTCTTGAGAACATAACAACCTAGCGAACACCCAGAATCACAGCCTCTTTGGACAGATACGGAAACTGCTAGAAACAACGTTTTGGCTGCTCTTTTTTTTTTTTTTTTTAAAGCCTGTCACTTTTTTTTTTTTAATTTATTTTTTTATTTTTTTTCCCCCAAAGCCCCAGTAGATAGTTGTATATCATAGCTGCACATCCTTCTAGTTGCTGTATGTGGGATGCGGCCTCAGCATGGCCAGAGAAGCGGTGCGTCGGTGCGTGCCCGGGATCCGAACCCGGGCTGCCAGCAGCGGAGCGCGTTCACTTAACCGCTAAGCCACGGGGCCGGCCCTTGGCTGCTCTTTTCATCATATTCATAAGTATATAATTTATACTTCATATTCATAAGTATATAATTTCATAATTATATAATTTATACTTTTTTATAAGTATATAATTTATTCATATTCATAAGTATATAATTTATATTTTAAAAAAGGATCTAATGCCACTTGAAACAAAAAATGCATAATCAAGGAAATTGGAATACGAATGGTAATTAGATACTGTTATTGGATTAATGTTAAATTTCTTGGGTGGGAAAATGTGGTTACTGTGGTTACACAGGAGAATGTTCTCGTTCTTAGGAGACACAGGCTTATTCAGGAGTGAAGCCTCATGGTATTTACAACTTACTTTCAAATGAAGAAATGGGGCAAAGTGTTAATAATTGGTGAATCCAGGTAAAGGAAACGGAGGTGTCCATTACACTATTATTTCAACTTTTCTGCTGCTGTTACATTTTCCAAAATAAAACTGGCAGAAGCAGTTAAAAAAAACAACCCGTGAAATATATGTTTGACAGCAATGGTTCCCCAGCACACACACACACGATAATAATTCAGTCTTATCTTTTTAAAAAACAATTTCCTCAGTTGAGGAGACTAGAATATTAGACCAGTACATTATGTCACATTCCTATGAATGGTCACGACACTGTGACGGGAGAAAGTCTTTTTCTTACACGTGCATGTGCTTCCCTTGGATGGTGAGGTATCATTCTGGCTATAACTCACTCTCAGTGGCTCACGAAAAAAATATGTAAATTTAGAAAGAGATCAAGCTAATCCGGCAAAACTGTTGGATCCAGGTGGAAGATACGTGGGTGTCCATTTTACCACTCTGTTAAATGTTCTGCATGTTTGAAATTGTTGGTGTAATTAAACATAAAGGGTAGAGTGACAACAGGGCGGGGCGCAGCCAGTGACCACGCAGGCAGGAGCACAAGACAGAGACGTAACAGAGCATCAGAGCGAGCGCTGAACTCCTGCCACTCAGAGTAAAAGGGGAACCATAAGGGGTGTGCGGGGGGCTCCCATCATCCGTTACAGCAAGCCACCTTCACTTGGCTCATCCTCACACCAGAGACCCCTGACCCTCTACCTCCCTCCCATTACTGCCCGTTTCTTCTTTCCCTTTAGGATCTCCATTCCCTCTTGAACCCACCACAATCAGGTATTCAGGACACCTGGTCCTCAAATCTACTCTTCAAGTCCCCATGTGGTCAAGTCCAGGCCCTTACCTCCTCTCCTGCCAGCAGCCTCCCCTGGGCCCCTCCCTCCTCCTCCATGTCCCCTGCTGGTCCAGGCTCCAACTCCAGACAGGCTCCTCAGACCCCTCCCTCCCTCAGCAACTCAAGACTAACCCCAGGTCCATGCTGATGACTGACTCCCAAACTTCCAGCCCAGACCTTGCCCTGGACTCCCCTCACTCCACCTGGATGTCCAACAGGCATCTGAGACCACACATGCGCAATGCGCAGTTTCTCCCCCACTTGCTCCTCTCTCAGCCTTTCCTATCTCAGTAAAGAAACGGCGACTCAGTCCTTCCAGGGGCCCAGGCTGAAAGCTCTGGCTCTTGCCTTTCTCGTCCCCCATTATCCAACCCATCAGCAAATCCTGTAGACTCTGCTATCAAAAATATCCAGAACCTGACCCCACCTCTCCACTGGCCCAGCCCCGAGCTGAGTCAAGACCACTGCTGAAATATTCTCCAGGCAGGCCCCCAACTCCACTGACCCCACCGGGTCCATCCTCCACGTAGCGGCCAAAGTAATGCCTCGAAAACCCGGAACAGCGCTTGGTACACAGCAGGTGCTCAACCAACACTGGGTAAATCAGCTGTTCTCAAAGTGTGGTCTGGGGAACCCTGGGGGTCCTCAAGGCACTTTCAGGGGGTCCACAAAGTCAAAACTATTTTCGTAATAATACTAAGACGTCATTTGCCTTTTTTACACTCATTTTCTGTCAAGCGTATAGTGAAGCCTTCCAGAGGCTACATGACGTGAATATGGCAACAGCTGGATACAGAAGCAGGGGTGGGAATCCAACTGTCTTCTATTTAGCAGACATTAGTTAAAGGGATTTTCAAATATGTACAACAATGTCATTCTTCTCGCTAAATTTGTTCTGTTTTGGAAAAGATAGTTTCTTTTTCATAAAAAATGTTAACATGTAATGGATTTATTATTGTTATTTTCAAGGAACTAATAAATACATATTTAGTTAAAGTTCCTCAGTTTTAATTTCTAACGTGGCAGCCATCTGTGTGTCCAGCACACATAAACAACAGCTCTTTGGGGTCCTTAAGTTTGAAGAGCATAAAGGGGTCGTGAGTCGAAAAGGTTTGAGAACAGCTGGGTTAAATCACTTCACTCCCCTGCTCAGAATCCTCCAGACACACTCCCTCTCGGTCAGATGCAAGCCGGGCCCTCACAGTGGCCTCCACAGCCCTACACGGCACTGTCCCCAAACCTCCTGGACCCTAACACCCAGCCCACAGGAACCCCCTCCTGTCACCGGCATGCTCCCTCTGCCTGCAGTGCTTCCACGGACTCCCCCTTCTCATCTCTGTGCAAACGCCCTGTCCTCAGAGATCTGGACCATCCCGGACCAAGGCAGCACCCCTACCTCCCAGCACTGCCCTGCCCTTCATCCTGCTGGACAGTCCCCACAGGACCTTTTCACCTAACAGTTGGGTTTATTGATTCGTTCACTGTCTGGCCCCTCCCTCCCCCTCCCACGATGAGAATGGAAGCCCCACGAGGGCAGGAGCTTGGTTCTGTTCGTGGCTCTATCGACCAGGCTCAGAGTAAGCACACTTTAGGCATGTTGGATGAATCACGAAGTTGAAACACTTATGGAAGTCTGATTTTACGTGTCATTAAGCAGGACTCGACTCCTTGGAGGTGAGTCCAAGTCTCATTAAGTCGTAGACCCTCCATCCTGAGGCAGGGCTGTCCTTGAGGGCATCAGAAGATGCTACTAGCACAGGCGCTAGGGAATTGCTGACTGCAGTCAGAGGGGTTACGGTGGGAAAGCCCAGAACCCAGAGCTAAGAGCTGGTTCCAGGGGCCGGCCTGGTGGCATAGTGGTTAAGTTCACACACTCTGCTTCAGTGGCCGGGGGTTCACGGGTTCAGATCCTGGGCACAGACCTACATACCGCTCATCAAGCCATGCTGTGGCAGTGTTCCATATACAAAGTAGAGGAAGATGGGCACGCATGTTAGCTCACAGGCAATCTTCCTCAAGCAAAAAGAGGAAGATTGGCAACAGATGTTAGCTCAGGGCCCGTCTTCCTCACCCCAAAAAAATAATAAAAAAATAAATAAAAGAGCCAGTTCCATCTGAGGCCCAGCCCTGCGACACTGAATGCCACTGACCACTCTGAGAGTGGGCACCCTCAGCTGTAACCCTGGAGCCCTCATCCCTGCCACATCACAGTTTATCACTAACACAAGTGGGGCACATGCAAAAACACTGTGAATCTAACTCACCATACAGACTTAACACCTGCCCATCGTCTTCCACAAGCAAAGGGCTTGTGACAAGTGACTGAGACGGAGAAGCTGGAGCCCATTTATTGAAGTGTATGCTTGCTATCATTTCAGCGTAAGAACAGAGTTTTGAAGAGATGTCCCCCCAAACCTCGGCCTTAGTAAACCTTTATTTTTAGTATACTATATATGCTGATTGTAGAAAAATTAAAAACTAGGAAACAAAAAGAAAATACCCTGGACCTCCCACCATCCCCCTACTCAAAGATAACTGCGGTGGAATATTTGGTGTACATCCGGCACGCTGGGGCTCCAGCTATCCTCTCTGCCACTCTCCCTTCCCACTACAGTGACGTTTTCAGCTGGCATACAGCTGAATTAAGACACTTTAGATTACAAAATTCTTAGATTAATTAAGAAGTAAGACCTCATTTCCCAACTTCCACTGCAACTGGAATGCCAACTCATGGCCATGGGACCAAGCTCTGGCAACGGGTTCTAGGTCAGAGTGGTAAACGCAACTTCCAGAAGCGTCTCTGAAGGACTCAAGCATCCCTTGCTCCTCTTTCTCTCCTTCCCACAGGCTGGACTGCTGACATGATGGCTTGAGGTGGAGCAGCCGCCTTGACCACAGAGGAGAAGAAGAACAAGGAAGAAGAAGTCAGGGGTCCTCAGTAATGACTGACTGACCACATGGGCCCTGGACTGTGAGAGAAATAAACTTCAGGCTGTCTAAGCTACTGTTATTTGGGAGTTTTTCTCTCTCTCACAGCAAAACTGTACAATACATTTTCCATACTTGCTCATACACAATTTTTTCTTTGTCGGGTGGGTAAGGGAACATAATGAAACCATACTGCTCATCCTGTTTTATAACATGCTTTTTCCACTTGAACCAGATGCCACTACTCCCCTTCTAGGTCATTGATACAGTCCACACCATCGCTTCAACAGGGTCCAGAACTCCCCTCCGGGGCCTCAGCACACTTCCTGTGATTGGTCCCCGACTCACGGACACTGAGGTTATTTCCAGCTTTTCACTATTACCAGCAAGGCTGTGATAAACGTCCTCGGTATCTACACTCTTCCCACATATCCTTAACATTTTCCTTAAAATATATTCCCCCCCAAGAAATTATCATCATTATTAAATCACAATATTGTGAAAATAATTACACCATTCTATCAAAGGTGATTTTCTTTATTTTCCTTTTACATTTCTACCTGAGTATCAACAGAAAGTGAATGCAATGCATTTTTAAGTTACAGTTCTTAATTTGTGGAAACAGGCTGTCAAGGCCACTGAAAAGCCACTGACAGGCTTCGTCAGGTCAAGAACATTAGTTCTCCCTGAGGGTTATCCCTACACTTCTTCATGATAAACGCTTTTTATTTGCATTTAATTATTCTCCATATTCTCAAGTTTAATGCATCAGAAAGTTAAATTTTCCTAGAGGCAAGATTACACACAAGGCAATGTCCAGATTAGCCAGAACACAGGCTCCAAATAAACCAACAGAGAAGTTAATGAGTGACTAGTATCCGATTTTGAAAAAGTATTTAGTTCTCAAGTTGTGAAGCTTTTAATAAGCAAACAGATATGAAAACCCACAAAACTTATAAAGTTGTACACAGGTATTACTAAATCCCAGGTCTTGGCAGTAGTCTGAAAGTTATTTTAGTTCATCATAATCCACAGTTAAGATAGTTTATCTTAATTATCCCTGATAAACAAGAAAGGTATAATTTTAGCTTGCCATACGAAAAACATAAGGTAGCCCTGCCACATAACTACTCATTTGAAGCAAATTATTCTCCAAAATCTCCAATGTAATGCTCTACAAAAAAACAAGAATAAATGAAAACAAATAAGAATTTTCATAATTATAACTAAAATAAAGAATTTAAAAGTAATTTTCATTAAAGAGGGAAAAAAGCCAGGATTATATGCTATCCTGATGATTTAAAAGATCAAGTTTGCAAATTTTCTAAGGATCGACTGAGATGGATACATGAAAGGATTGTAATAGGTACTGTCATGACAAATCACTCTTAATAAGACACCTTTTCATCTGGGAAAGGAAGACAGGAAAGTATGTTAAAGAGGAAAGATGATGGTACTCACAAGGCTCAATGTACAAATTTGAACTTATCAGAAAAAAGCCACCAAAAATTACAGCTAAAGATTTGCAGTTAACAGACAATCTGCTCAAAACCAAGCGAACACACACGGCATGCGGTTTCTCTAAGTGTGCCTCTGGGCCCCCATCTCCCATCCATGTGCACCTTCCAGAATTACCTGCGGGGTAAGGACTGCTGGGGTTTCCCCAGGCTTCCCGCATGGCCTCAGTCATGGCCTGGATGACCTCCGGCTCCAGGGGGGTGGTTGCATTGTAGTCCATATAGACTTGCCTGCTGGAAAGACAAGGATGTGACTGTTAGGGAAAAGGAGCTGGAACACGGAAACACAGCTGCCCTATGTCTACCCCACCAAGAGGAGCAACTACTGTCCAGGGCTCCTCTGCGGAGACGTGCGCAGGCTCCACAAACTGCACTTGGAAATCTCCAAATCTTCGTTACTTATGGAAAATGTACGCATAATTTCCAACAGTCTAGTATTTGCTAGTTTCCTTTATAATGGATAAGAGACGATCCACTTAGATTTCAGATTAGGCCTCAGGTGATCGGGGCGCCCTCTCCCCCTCTACCCACCCCTGCTTTCCCTACCGGGGCCTTCTTCCCAGGGCAGGCGGCCTCCCCTCCCCTTGCACTTGCCGTTTGCTTTGCCTAGAAGGACCACGCCCCATACCCACACCCTCCTTTTTAGGTCTCTGCTCCAACTTGACATCTTGTGGGGCTCCCTGCGGCTCTAAATAAAATTGCAGCCACTCCCTCTCCTTGCAGCACTCGGTCCTCCCTCCCGCCCTCTATTTCCCGGGGGCACTCCTCATCATCTGACTCGCTCCTTGCTCTGTCTGCCTCAATAGAAAGTGATGGACCATCGGCTCCACGAAGTCGCGGGCTTGGTCGGTTTTCCCAACTGCTCTGTCACCAACACAGAACAACGGCTGGCATGCAGCAGGGGCCCCATTTATAAGATGACAAAGTAAACGACACAGAAAACGCACATCCCCTGAAAGATCCCTCATAAGTAAAATTTATCCGTACATCTTTTTACCAATATGAGAAGCCTTCAGAAACTTTCATAAACATATATAGCAGGTAATCCTACCTCATACGATTATTTTATCTGATTTTAAAATCAACAACAGCGCTTAAACCAATCCACATGAAAATTCAAACACAATTAGCAACCATGGCTGCTAAAACAGTTTTTTTAAACCACGGAGTGTTTTAACGCGGCACCTTGTCTGTGAGCTGCCCCAAGTCCCCTGACACGTACTAGGCTTTGGGGCTTTGGGAAGTTCAACCAGCCATCCTTGGCCACCCCGTATTAGGAATCTCCTGGTCCTGCTGGGCCTTAAATCTGCATGCGCCCCAACTCTGCTCTCACTTCCTACAAGTAAGTGTCTCAAAGTTCCTCAGGCTACTCGTGTCTGCTGAGTGACTACAGCTTTTCAACTTGCTGCTCGGCTGAGCGAATTTATGGCTTGAATTTCAGGTTAACATTTTATAGATTACTCTGCTCCATTATTTGCTGCTTCCTTGAAGTGCTATCAACATTGCATGGGAAAGCTAAAGTCTACCGGGTTCAGAACCAAAAAATGAGGAGGCATCGTGAATCTCCTCTCCACTGTCTTCCTACATTTTCCCAGCTCCCTTCACTCTGTCCCAACCAAAGCAGAATGTCTAATGAAAGAAATGGTCAGATTGAGGCCTGGACCCAAATTTTAAAGACACACACACATTCTTCATATTCAGGTAGAGAAGGTTATTCCCGGCCTACTCCCCCCAAAAAAGTTTTTAACACATTCCTGGACTGGAGGGCCAAGACTCCAAACAAGAAAAGGCACACCCCTCCCCTCCAGGGGAAGTGGTTCCAGCACGGGTTCTCCAGCTGGAGAAGCCACGTGGACTGCAAGGGCCTCCCTGTCTTCATCCCCACTTTCCCAGGTGCTCAGGCCAGCAGCCTGGGAGGCATCCTTCTTAATCCGTCCTTCCTCCACACCAGTGCCACCACACTCGGGTCCACACCACCTCTCTTTCCTAAATTTTTACAAGGTTCCAACTGGTTTCCCTGCTTCCCCCTGTGCCACACCCACCCCCGTCCCTACTCTCTACAAAGCAGCCAGAAGAATTCCTTATAATTAAATCACATCCTGCCCTGCACAAACTTCCCAGATCCCCATCACCCTTAGAATACACCCCAAAGTCCTCCCTGGGCTGTGGCTCTGCTGGCTGTCAGCTGCTCCGACAAGCCCCTCCTCTCCAGCCACGCGCGCTCTGCAGGCTCCTTTCCGCCCTCAGGGCCTTTGCAGCCGCTGTTCCCTCTTCCTGGGGTGCTCTTCCCCAGAACTTGTGCGGCTGACTCCCGATGTCACTCAAGTTTCAGCCCAAATATTACCTCCCCGGAGCCCATCCCAGGCCACGCCTCGCATCCGCTCGTCCTCCCAGCTCGCATCTCTGATTTAGGCCTCCCTCGCGGACAGCCGGCCAGCGCTGCAACTCCGCTTGGGACTCTCATGCCCGCGGAATGACCACCAGCCGGCCGTCTCCTCCCCTGGAGAGTGACCACCGGCCGGCTGCCCCCCTCCGACCTCCCGCCGGGGCACCCCGACCTCGCCCCGCGGCGCCCGGAGGGCTTCCCGGAGGAGGGCGCTGGCGGATTTCCCCGTCTTCTCCTCAAGGCGCGCACCTCTCCGGCAGGCTTTTCTCTCCGCGGCCGCTGGGCGGACTCGCCGCGCTCACCCGCACGTTCCTGCTCGGCGCCGCGGCCGCCTCCATTCCGGCCCCGCCGCAGCCCGGCTCTGCCCCTCCTGCCCGCGGCGGTGCCCCAACCGACACAGCCGGTCAGGCCCGGGAGCGCCGCCAGGAGGCCCAGCGGGAGGAGGCGGGGCCGAAGGGTCCGGAGCGTGTCCGGATAGGCTGAGCTGCGCACTCCCGGCCAATCCCCGTGCTTCAGCGGGCAATCTGCGCGGAGGCGGGGCCCCCGGCGCTGGGACAGGATGGAATGCTGATTGGCTGCGTGGGGTCAGGTGACGGAGCTGGGGGCGGGGCTCCATGCGCGTCACAGAGGGCGCGGCCACGGCGGCGGAGCGCGGGCGGGAGCCGCGGGTGAGGAGAGCGGCCGAGGCGTGGACGCCGCGGTTGCAGGGCCCGGGAGTCTGCCGGAGTCCTTACCTCCGCGGGCCCCGGACAGTCAGAGAGAAGGCGCCGCCCGAGAGCGAGCGCGCCACGGCTCTGGGTCGCCGCAGTCCCGGGGGCTCTGAGACCTCGGACCCTGCAGAGTCCGGGGGGCATGGGCGTGCATGATCGATCGTCTCCTGGGTGAGGCTGAAATGAGGAATCATTTACCGAGGGTGGATTGAGGGGTCTGGAGTAGAGGTCGCCAGGCCGGTTGGAGGCTGTTATAATGGCCAACGCAAGAGATGGGGAACACTAAGCAGTGAACGTAGATACGCAGGAAAGGTGGGTTCAGGGAGGTTTAGGGTGAAAATAGGCAGGAATGGTGACAGCCGAATGCGGGGCATGCGGGAGAGTGGGAACGCAAGGATTAACGAAAGGACTCAGAGGATGTTGGTGCCTTTAACTGGGATACGAAGGAACACAGGAGGGGGAAGGTGACGGGTCCAGTGGGAATGTCTACCGTTTGTGATCCCACCAACCATGACAGAAGTCAGTTGGGAAGGTGGTGAGAGGGCAGAGATCCAGATTCTTGAATTCTGACGAAGCCACCCCTTGCCTTTTTGGCACAATAACATCTCTAAGTTTAATTGAGCCCTGAGCGTGTGCCAGCCACTCTACTAAGCACCTTTCATGGATTCACGGATTTAATCTTGATAACAGCCTTATCCAGTGGGTACTGTTATCCCCACTTTGTATATGAGGAAATTAAGTTACAGAAAAGTTCAGCATCTTGCCCCAGGTCGCATGGGTAGTGATGGAGCCAGAACTGGAATGCCAGAACACTTTGCCAGGAGTTGAATTTTCATTGGCTCTTCGTAGACTTTCTCAATTTTCTATCCTGTTGGGGTCCAGAAGTTGTCTTTTCCAGCACTGCAAGTCTCCATGTATGTGGGTGCTTTATTTCCTTTCGTTCTTGCTTGCAAACTGAGCTTATTTCTTGCCAAATGCAGCCAATAGCAAAGGACACACCAAAATTTAAGGAGCAAACTGATACACAGGAACTCGAAGACAGTCAACAGAGAAGGAAAGGGAATTAGGGAGGAATGTTGAAGTCAGATGAGAGTGTGAAGTGCAACTGAGAAGAAATCTGAAAAGTGTCTACCGTTATGTGACGATAAGGAGGCACTGACGAATTTAGCGAGAGACATTTCAGTGGAGCATTGGGGGGGGGTGTGAACCAGTGTAGAGTTGAGGAATGAATGGAACATGCAAGAGTGGAGAGTGTAGTCAGCTGTCTTCAAAAGGTTGAGAAAGGAAGGAGCTGAAAGGGGTACAAGATCAAGGGGAGATATTTTAGAGACTGAACATGTTTCTAGGCTGAAGGGAGGCAGCTAACAAGAAAACTGAAGAAAAAAGAGAAGAGCCAAAGTCCTGGAGGCGATGAGCAGGTGAGTGGGGGAGTTGAAAGGTAGGGGCAAGTTTCATCCTCTAAATCTGTATGGAAGGCTGTAAGGCTGGGAGCTGGAGGGGCCCAGGGACCACTGACAAGGTGATTCGTCTCAAGCACTCCTTGGACCAGTTAGGCAGCAATTAGAGGGTTTGTGTTTCCCGGCAGATACAGTGAGTATAGTGGTGGAGTCAGAGAGATGAGACAGCGCCCCACATGGCTGGTGATACCCAGGAAGAACAGAGTGCCCACATACACAGGGCCAGGAGCTGGGGTAGCCATTTTGCCTCTCCTGCACTCTTACCAGCAGTAGGGTATGGGGCAACATGCAGGAGCAGCCAAAAGGATTCCAAGTGGGCTGGTCAAACATGCAACAGGTGACCTAATTACAAAGATGTCTTAATTACATAGATAAGTGTCTAATAAAGACCAAATGTTTGAGGAATGCTGTCTCCATGAAAGGGAGATAGTTAACGCAATAAATAGAACTCATACCTAAGGAAAAAGGGTAATAGAGCTATCATCCTTGTAAATTTTACCCTTCTGGGTGCTGAGATCATTGTAGATTTACATGCAGTTGTAATAAATGATACGAGGTACTTTATCCAGTTTTCCACAATGATAACATCTTCCAAAACCATAGTAATCCACTCTGCCAATCTTTGTCTTTTGGGGTATTAGACCATTTACACATCATTATTAGCTCTTAAATCTACCATCTTATTGTTTTCTGTTTGTTACATCTGGTTCTCAACGCTGTTTCTCTTTACTTGCCTTCTTGTGGATTATTCGAACATTTTTAAGTATTCCATCTTGATTTCTCAATAGTGTTTAAAAACAGACATAATTCACATAACATAAAATTCACCCTTTTAAAGTGTGAAGTTTAATATATTCACAAGGTTGTGTTACCGAACCAGGTTCCTTTTCCCCGCTGCATGATTATGCCAATCACCGAGATGATGAGTTTGCAGCAGAGAAAGGGTTTATTCACAAGACAGCCAAGCGAGGAGACAGAACAAATCTCAAACCCATCTCCCTGAAAATGAGGATTAAGGATATTTGTGGGATAAGGGGGCAGTATAGTCTGAAGTGTGGGGATGGATGATTGGAGGTAAGGAGAAGTGGGGTAATTGATGATATGCATGGGCTGTCCAGCTTTTTGGCTCTTCATAGGATGCATGTTCACAAAATGGTTGTGTTACCATGATCTGAGAGTGGAGTTTTCGGTTCCTTCACATCAAATGGTCACCTGTTAGTCATCTGAGCAGGCCTACTTGATGAGTCAGTGGTCCTAACCAGCCTGAACTGGACAAGGAGTCGACTCTCAGTTCCTGAAAAACTTAAGTGCCCATTACCATGGTGACCCAAGCATGAGAGATGTTATCTATAGGGTGGGTTTTAGTAATGCATTATCTAACTACTTTTGCAAACAGACAACTAACCGAGTATAGTTAAAGCAAGTTGGCCCCTGGTTTCAGTTGTACAACCATCACCACTATCTAATTCCAGAACATTTTTATCACCCCCCAAAAGAAACACTACTCATTAGCATTCAATCCCCATTCCTTCCTCCCCATGGCCTCTAGCAACAACTAAGCTACTTTCTATCTCTATAGATTTTCCTTTTCTGCGCATTTCATATAAATGGAATCATACAGCACGTGGTCTTTTGTGTCTGGCTTCTTTCAGTTGGGATAGTTTTTTCAAGGTTCATCCAGGTTGTAGCATGTATCAGTAATTTATTTTTATTGATGGTTATTATTCCCTTGCCTGGCTGTACCACATCTCGTTTTTCCATTCATCACTTGATGAACATTTGGGTTGTTTCTGTTTTTTGACTGTTATGAATAATGCTGGGGCTGGCCCCGTGGCTTGGCGGTTAAGTGAGCACGCGCCGCTGCTGGCAGCCCAGGTTCGGATCCCGGGCACGCACCGATGGACGCACCACTTCTCTGGCCATGCTGAGGCCGTGTCCCACATGCAGCAATTAGAAGGATGTGCAGCTATGACATGCAACTATCTACTGGGGCTTTGGGGGGAAAAATAAATAAATAAATAAATAAAATTATGAATAATGCTGCTCTGAACATTCAAGTTTTTTACATGGAGATATATTTTCATTTCTCTTGGTTATATATCTAGAAGTGGAATTGCTGGGTAACATGGTAACTTTATGTTTAACTTGTTGAAGAACTTCCAAAATGTTTTCAAAAGTGGCTGCACCATTTCATATTCCCACCAGCAATGTATGAGGATTCCAATTTCTCAACATCCTCAGCAACATTTGTTATCATCTTGTGTGTGTGTGTGTGAGGAAGATCAGCCCTGAGCTAACATCTGATGCCAATCCTCCTCTTTTTTGCTGAGGAAGATTGGCCCTGGGCTAACATCCATGCCCATCTTCCTCTACGTTATATGGAACGCTGCCACAGCATGGCTTGACAAGTAGTGCGTTGGTGCACGCCCAGGATCCGAACCCACGGGCCCTGGGCCGCCGAAGCAGAGTGCGCGCACTTAACCACTGTGCCACCAGGCTGGCCCCCATCTGTCTTTTATTTTAGCCATCCTAGTGGGTGTGCAGTGGGGTCTTGATTTGCATTCCCCTAATGACTAATTGTGATACTGTGATTTATAATAAGAAATGTATATCTGGTCTTTGTCCCTGTTCCTGGCACACAGAGCTCCTAAAACTCTTGGATTTTCCTACTTGATAAGAGTGATAAAGGTGAAAGGAACATCTTTTGTTATTCATAACAAGCCCTTTTCAACCACACTCAAGCTTGACCCTAAGGATGGGGGACTGGTTGTCAGGAGAACCAACCATATGATTAGAGGGTTGGAACTTTCAGCTCTAGCCCCTCCCACTCCCGACCTCTGAGGATAGACAGGGGCTGGACATCTAGTTTAATCATCAGCGGCCAATGATATAATCAATCACACCTGCATAAGGAAGCCTCCATAAAAACCCAAGCTGAAGGAGTTTAGAGAACTTCCAGGTTGGTGAACACATGAGGTGCTGGGAGGGTAGCACACCTGGAGAGGGCATGGAAGGTCCATGCCCCTTTCCCCTTACCTTGTCTTATGTGTCTCTTCCGTCTGACTGTTCCTGAGTTATATCATTTTATAATAAACTTGTAATGTAGTAAGAAAACTGTTTTCCTGGGTTCTGTGAGCTTTCTAGCAAATTACTGAACCCAAGGATGGGGTCATGGGAACCCCTGATATATAGCCAGTCAGAAG